ATCGAAGGCAATTAGTGGCATAATTTATGATTTTAACACTCAAGAGTACCCATCTAATTATTTTTATTATTATTACCATTTTTTTATATTGAAATGAACTTAAATCCACCTTAAAATTTCCCGTCAATTTAAAGTTTTTCACACTGTCGTAGACGACGAAGACGAAGCAGAGTCGGACTTGGTGCTCTCCGAGCTGGAGAACATCGACGACGAGTGCGACCCTGTCTCTTATACACATCTAGATGTGTATAAGAGACAGGGGTACACGTACAACACGCAGGTGAGGACCACACGCTGGGGGTTGTGGTGTCTGGGTACACGTACAACACGCAGGTGAGGACCACACAGCTAAATTATGAACGGTGTTCCAGGAATTAATGTTTGAGTTTATCCCCAGTTTGTCTTCTTATTGTAAAACTCACAATTCAGCATGGTTGTTTATCAATTTGATAAAATGATTAACTAAAATACTTTGATTATACTTTAAGGAACCTATAATAATGGCGTGCCTTGTAACGACCACAATATAAGATGTACGCGTGTTGCAGACCGGCGAGTACACTAAGATCGCTAAGGGCAACCCGCAGTGGCCGCAGGCCTTCTACCCCATGGACCGTGCGCTCACCATCTCCCCTCAGGACATCGTCGCCTCCCGCTGCACCTACAACTCTACTGCCAGGGACCGCACCACATACATAGGTATCACGGGGACCGCACCACGTATATAGGTACCATGGGGACCACACCACGTATATAGGTACCACGGGGACCGCACCACGTATATAGGTACCACGGGGACCGCACCACATATATAGGTACCACGGGGACCGCACCACATACATGGGTACCACATGGTGACGCACATCTACCCATACTCTTCCGCACATCTAAGTACTAGGTACCTCCTAAGGACTACACCACACGTCTTTCAATAGATGTATTGGGAGGAAAAGTGTATTGTAAAGGTCGTGGCAATGGGTCAGGGTGTATCGAGGGTATTGTGGCAATGGGTGTAATGTGAGGGTTGAGGTAGTGGGTGCCTTGTTCTTGCTGTTGTAGAGGTAGTATTGGAGTTCGCCGTGAATCTACCTATGTAGCTCACTCGCGGCTGCTCAACAGGTTGCAGAGGTGCGTGGTGGATGTGACTCTTGAGACCTCATTAATGAAGATTATATCACCATTGATATAATTGAATGCTTAAAGATAGTAATTGAACCATTACTAACTTCAAGCAGCAAGCCACTGCATTCTGCATTCGCTTTCCTAACTGAGAGCGAATGCGCTTTAGATCCGTTGATCTTCCTCCTGATGGTGTAGACTAGAGACAATATCTGACACGTGTTCCAGCATTTAATATCTGCTCTAGGATTATTAATATCTGTGTTGTATTTCCGCAGCTTTTACCATCTATTTCAGTATTGTCAGTAACGGTGTTGACATTGTACGTGTGTGGTCGCAGGAAGCACAAAGAACGACGAGATGTGCAACTTGTACCTGATGTACTACACGGACACGGACAAGGGGCAGGAGGGCGCCGTGTGTGGGGGCAACGCCTTCCCTGAGGTGCTGGCCAACCTGCCTCCTGACAACGACCTGCCGCTGCCCCCCAACCCCATGCTAGAGATGAAGGCGCATGGCGAGAACACCAACAAGGTGTGCCTCCAATTGCTGCCTCGTTCTTTATCCAATGTCCTTATTTTGTTCTTTGCTTGATATCATTTCTTTATTATGTTGTTTTCTGTATTTATCCAAAGTCCCCATTTAGCTCTTTTCTCGATTCCATGTCTCTATTTAGTTGTTTTCTATATTGCTCGCGTTTTATCTGTATTCCATTAACGTACATTTTGTTGTTGAATTTTTCCCACATATTCATTATTTAGTGTCTTTTTCAGAACGTCTCAGTCACATACAAGCCTCTGGCCGAGAGCAGCGAGGTGACTTCACCGCCTATAGTGACGCACGCCACTGCAGAGGTCACCATGGCGCCTGCGTCTGTCACCATGCAACCCAAGCCCATCACTGTGGAGAAGAAAGCTCACCAGTACGAAAAACTTCCTCCTCAAGGTGAATTTAATGTCGTGTTAATCGTTTACTGGGCTAGATGGGTGCTTTGTTAACTGCCCTTTAGCTGTGCAAACATTCGTCTTGTCATCTTACGTACTTCATCATTCGTCTTCTCATCTCACCTCATCATTCGTTTTCATCAGCATTGTACTAACACTTCACTTCAAGGTTCAACGAGACATATAATCTGTGGTATTGTTCTTCAGTATTATACTATTTTCGTACGTTAAAACATCAGTTACATGTGAATTAATTTAATTATTGTTCATATTATAAATTATGGAATTTTGGATCTGAACAAGGAACATGTTTGTCTTTGAATTTCTTTCCTTTGACTAACATGAAAGGTAGCTTCTCTTCAGACGTAGAAAAAGTTTTTGCCTTCTGTCTCATAATTGCAGGTTTTCTGGCAAAATTACTGGTTTTGCGGCCCTCGATTACAAGTTTTATGGCTCGCGATTATATGTTTTCTGGCTCACAATGGCGGATTTTCTCTGGCTCATGCTTGCAAGTATCTGGCTCACAATTGCAGGTTCTCTGGCCCTCGATTACAATTTTTCTGGCTCACAATGGCGGATTTTCTGGCTCACGATTGCAGATTTTCTGGCTCACGATTGCAAGTATCTGGCCTAAAATTTCAGATTTTCTGGATTACGCAAGTCGATCAGTCGACCCGAGCGACTATGAGTACCCCGCGTCCCGCGTGAGTCCCGTGAGAAGACCCGTGAGCTCTTGGGGACCGCGGGGGATGTACGTCGGGGCTCGTCAGAGACCCTTGCATCCTCGTGGGGAACTTAGCTTCCCCAAGCCTCAGGGCGGCATGGCTCCCTATGATTCCCTTGCCAGAGGGAGACAGCTCTATCCTGGTGGGGTTAACCCCCAGGCAGAGTACCATGTCGTCCCCCAGCAGCCGTATCTCCAACTCGACCTTTCGAGGGGGATGTATTACCCCAGTGGGGAGGCGTACCCGCAGTGGGAGGCTGGGGAGAGCTTGCCTCCCTATGGGGAGCGAGGAGACTTTGGGGGGCAAGCGCCGGCGAGAGGTTGGCTGAGGCGCCGAGTCTCCGTGCATGTTTAGCGATGCCGGCCTTCTATTTATTTATTATCGTCTCATTTGTTTAATCCTTCTGCATCTAAGTAATAATATGTATGTGTAATTAAGAAAAAAGTTTTTTTATTTGCAGATACTGCTTCGTCCCTCCAAGTTTGTAATTTTCTAAAAGTACATCAATTTGTTTTATAATCCTCATTGTTCAAAGGTCAATTTTTCCTGCGAGTATTTGGCTTAAAATTCCAGATTTTCTGGATTTTTTCTCAAAGCCTTTCTTTTTATTTGCTGTTGATATTTTTGTGAAGTTTTCTGCCTCTGTGTCAAATATCTGCAATGAACGTGCATGACGCTGTATTTTTACGCGAATATCTTGCTTTTCCCTTAACATCCTACCCGATGTTTAATATAATTAGCATAATGCCCTCTCACTTGTTTGGTGTTACTGTACAGTTAACACATTATGAAACTATTTATGGTCTGGTCTCTATTTCTGTTATGAATTGTTACTTCAGATTTTCAGATTTTTTCCAAACGGTTGCCCTGTGTCGATGCACTGTATTATTTTATTTTGAATGACGTCATGTTTGTTTTTCTCTAATTATTGGTGCGATTCATTTTCAATAATTATTGGTATTTTGCCCTGCCTAATTACGGTTTTCTGCATTTAGTTGTACTGATTTTTTTGACGGCTGCGTAGTTTCATAGGCATACGCTATAAAATGAACGTTATTTGAATGGCTGAATGTAATAAAATATTCAGGGCTGACTATTATATTCCTCTTGCAAACATTTCAATCAATATTACCTTATAATATCATTGTATTTGAATGCCAGCGTTATTTGCAGCACAATATAACATGAGCCTCAACTACAATATCCTAAAGATTTACAATTGCAAATATTACTTGGAATTTAGGGTTATTAATTCTGAAATATTTGTTTGATATTAACTATGCATATTTTTATATATGCTTAATAGTTTAAGTAATACTTGAAATCAACCGAGTTATTATTTTCAGCACGCGAACGTATGCGATCGCTTACAATTTTGGTTATTCTGTGGAATTAGCAAATTTATTTTTATACATCATTTATTTGAAATATATAAACCATATGTGATGAAGGACATAAGGAGCATGTGATCCATAGTGTGTCATACGCTCATAATTTAGATTATTACATGTAATTAACTAAATTATTATTTACAGAAAATGAGTTCAAGCTTCACCCTAAGCCCGTGGGTGCGGGCAAGACAGGCAAGCAGGTCAACGCAGGGACACCCACACCCGCCCCCCTCACAGTTACTGGTAACTATGAGTGTTGTACCAACCATACCATATAAATAATGTTTTTATCAAGCATAACCTTCAACTATTGTTACTAATTCACATAAGTTTTTCACTCAGCGCAGTGACACCAACACCCGCCCCCCTCACAGTTACAGGTAACAATAAGTGTTGTACCTACCATGCCATATAGATAATGTTTTTATCAAGCATAACCTTTAACTATTGTCAGTAATACACGGAAGTTTTTCACTAGGAAGTAAAGTCAGAAGTTTTTAGTACCTACCGCAATTGTCATGAACTCAAATTATTTTTTTTATTCACTTAATAATGGATGTTTCATTTAATTTAAAATGATAGTGATGAAAAAGAACCCGCGATTATTAAAGAATGCCATCAATGATTCATGTCTACAGATATTTTGACAAAGATACAAGCATAAAAGAGAATCAGATAAATACGTAACATCGGTTTGGTAACTGAAATCAGTCACTCAGTAGGCCTTCTGTATACTGCCGAGAATTGGTTGATTTAAAAAAAAATTTCTGCTATCTTTATTTTAGTTTTTAACAATTTATTTACATTAGTTTTTCAATTAATTACTCGGGATAATTACTATTGTGCTCTCACACTAAAAAAATCTAATTCATTTTATATATTCATTTGCATAGATATTTAGTTATTTTTTGGGTTATCACAATACAAGAATATTTGTTCGCAGAGTACGCGGTGAAGTCAGGCTGGGCGCAGTCGCCTGCGCTGCCGACGTTGGGGCAAGTGACCGCCGTCGACCTGGACAGCAACAACAACGTCTACATCTTCCATAGGTGCGGCAGCTGTGTGCTGTTGTGGCACTGTAGTGCAGTGGTGGCACTGTAGTGCAGTGGTGGCACTGTAGTGCAGTGGTGGCACTGTAGTGCAGTGGTGGCACTGTAGTGCAGTGGTGGCAGGCACTGTCGTCGACCTGGACAGCAACAACAACGTCTACATCTTCCATAGGTGCGGCAGCTGTGTGCTGTGGTGGCACTGTAGTGCAGTGGTGGCACTGTAGTGCAGTGGTGGCACTGTAGTGCAGTGGTGGCACTGTAGTGCAGTGGTGGCAGGCACTGTGGTGCAGTGGTGGCAGGCACTGTGGTGCAGTGGTGGCACTGTAGTGTAGTGATGGCAGACACTAATGCAGTGGTAGCAGTTATTTTTCATAAATCTGTTACTACTCTTCACTATTTAGAAGTCTGTAGACTCCTCACAAGAAGTAAGGCAGTTGACATGTTGTGCAGAGGCGGGCGAGTGTGGGACGGCGAGTCCTTCACGGCGGACAACTACTTGGCCAACAGCTCCGTGCTGGGGCCCATACAGCAGCACACCATCCTGCTGCTGGACGCCGTGTCTGGGGCCCTGCTCCTGCAGTGTGGCCATGACTTGTGAGTGTCTTGCCAGTAAATGTCAAGTATTTTGAGATCGAGTTATAAAAAACGGCTCAAAAATTCACCATAACTTTCTAGAAGAAAACGTTTTGTAGTCCCGCTTCTATCGTCAGCTTGACAGTCCTAGAATGCCAGTACAGTAAATTAGTTAACCTAAGTTCATATTATAACAGTAACCAACCTCCCTCTACAATTCAGGGAATAAAAGGACTTTAGGGTTCTGACAATTATTCACAAGGACTAAAGTATGAGTGTGATCATCATTTGTTGCGTGAATTGAATCATTTATTTTTATTATTGTCAGTAAATATCAGCCCATATTATCATTAGGTTACCGTCCGGAAATATCACTCCATAATTTAGTGTCTGTTGGATGACTTGTTGATGTAGCATGGCTTGGTGGGAGTGCAATGATGGTAACATTGAATGCCTCGTCATGGGAGGCCTCATCAAGTGAGGCCTTGTAGAAGCTATGCCAATTGTCCCACTCAGGACATGGTCAGCTCATGGCTATCTCAGTCATTCAGCCAATCAGTTTTGATAATGAGAACCTGGCTTGTCCAGGTTGTTGCGAAATGTGAACTAAATGGTTCTGGCGGGTCAGCGAACAAATGATGGTGGTAGAACTTCCTGTAGCCTGAGTGTCCTGAAATACTGACCTACAACCTTCCTCTCAAGTGGCCACTACCAGGGTCGATACTTACAACAACAACTCCTTCAGGAATTGAGTATTTGTCTGTCACCTTCAAGCGAGATTATTCCTGCAGGAATTGATTATTTTCCCCTGACTGAGCGCAGTTTCTACATGCCGCACGGCCTGACGGTAGATGCTGAGGACAATCTGTGGGTGACGGACGTGGCCATGCATCAGGTCTTCAAGTTCCCCCCGAAGTTCGGGGACGGCAAACCTCTTCTCACCCTGGGCACCTTGTGAGTCTGCCTGCACTCCCTGCTCAATTTATTGTAATTATTGGATGTGAACAATGAACATTATTTAGGTCTAATTTATGGTACCGGCCAAAGCCAATGTACTTCATTCAAGTATTATTTTCTTGTCATTATATGGATATAATATATTGTGCACTGTGCAGACTGGAGCCAGGCAGCGACAAGAGTCACTTCTGCAAGCCTGCTGCAGTTGCGGTGCTCAAGAACGGGGACTTCTTCGTAGCGGACGGCTACTGCAACAGCCGCGTCGTCAAGTTCCGGCGCGACGGCTCCATCGTCACGCAGTTCGGCGCTGCTCCTAAAAACAACGTTCTCAGTGAGACACCTCATTGCAGGATTAAATCTTACCTTTTTTGAGCAAGGCTTCTTAATTTTTTAGGGTAACTCTCCCTCGATATTTTGAGTAACTCTCCCTCATTATTTTGAATAACTCTCCCTCATTATTTTGAATAACTCTCCCTCATTATTTTGAGTAACTCTCCCTCATTATTTTGAGTAATCTTCCCTCATTCTAGTTTTTTCCTCGGATCTTGCTACGTTTTGCACAAAGCCTAGCACTTTTGAAGGCAAGTTTTACTCTTATTTTCTCCTTTAAGATGAAGCAGCCATTACCCTACCTCACAATTACCGTACCTATATTAGTGATGCAATTGTACGAAGTAAAGCAGTTATCCGTTCATTAATACCATAAGTTTGCGTTACGGGTAAAGCTCTTGACATTTTAACAATGTAATGGTCTTCTTAGTCAGCATGACTCACACAAATACTTCAAGCATATCGCTATTTGGACGACGCCCGTGACATTTCTCTGAGTGCCCGACGCCCGTTGCAGGTCTGATCATGACGGCGGCAGGGTATTATTATTATTACTATTGTAATTATTATTATTATCATTATTATTACCCGTTGCAGGTCTGATGATGACGGCGGTGGGGCAGCCGGCGGGGGTGTTCGTGGTGCCCCACGACCTCGCCCTCGCTGAGGACCACGACGAGCTCTGCGTCGCCGACCGCGAGAACGGCCGCCTCCAGTGCTACGACACCTCCGACGCCCCCGCCTTCAGGAGGGTTGTTAAGCTCCCCCAGTGGGGCAGCAGGCTCTTCACGGTCGCTTATTCCCCCGTCAACGGTGAGTGTCTTGACTGTACCTGTAGTCCCGTCAACGGTGAGTGTCTTGACTGTACCTGTAGTCCCGTCAACGGTGAGTGTCTTGACTGTACCTGTAGTCCCGTCAACGGTGAGGGGCTGGGAGACTATAAATAATAATGAGTCACCCGAGGATTCGGAAGTAAGAAACTTGAATTTAAAAAATAAAATAAAACCCTTCAACATTCAGGCGAAGACGTTTTCACAATATCTTTCATGTTCTTTGGATAATATTGATGATATTAATATAACGTAATGTTTGATTCTTTGTATTTTGCTTGAGTGTTGTTAACATAAGTGCAGTTGTACGGCCATCTCTTGATGTGCAGGAGGCCGTCTGTTCTGCGTCAACGGCCCATCGTTGTACGGCCAGCAGCAGAAAATTGAGGTCTTCCAACTGGACTTCAGCTCCGGTCAACTGCTCTCTGCCTTCAGTCCTAACGATCAGGTGAGATTGAAGTCTTCCAACTGGACTTCAGCTCCGGACAACTGCTCTCTGCCTTCAGTCCTAACGATCAGGTGAGATTGAAGTCTTCCAACTGGACTTCAGCTGCATAACCTATATAGAACTGCTAAGAATATTCGTGCAATAACATAAATTAAAGCGTTGTTTAAAATTTCCGCAGTTTATCATTTAATCACCTTTTTAATTTTCACGATTTATGGTGTAATAAACTTTAATTAAATGCCGACACTAACCGTAGTTAGCCCAGTGTTTCGAAAAAAAACATATTGTGTGATATTTCTGTATTACTAAATGACTAAATGTTCTAGTATGGCTTGAGTGTTGCAAAACATAGTATTAATTATGTAATAAATTTGAATGAAGTCATGCCAACACAAGCTAGAGTGAGCCAGCTCAACGTTTCAATTCTAAACAGAATAATTATATCATGACATATTTATGCTTAAAATAATAAAGTGAATGTGTAACACATATCATATGTTACATAATTTACATAATAAAATATGTCCTAATTTACATAATTTTACTCATATGTTTCATGACAGGGCTTCTCATTCGTGCACGACGTGACGGTGACGGCAGACGGCGCAGAGTTGTACGTCGCAGAGATCTCCCCCAACCTCGTCTGGAAGTTCACAGCAGGTGCGTCTGCTCAGGATTTATCCACGTAATCTGGTATATTTGAGGGCAATACTCTCGATGGTTGTTGATAACCTTTAAAGTTTTGGAATGGTGTTTGGAAATTGCGGCTAAACAGATGAGGTTTTGAGAAAGCTTCAAGCTTGTAGGGCCGAAATTCTGGGTAATTTTTGCGACTGTCAGTTGTAGTTGTTTTGCGCATCAGTAATGTCTGTGCGCCTCTGCTTGGTTTACTTTTCTACACGTTTTCAAATGAGCATATTGGAAATAAGTTTCGCTTAAAAAAGTCTTTGCTTGGCTCTTTCTGAAAATTTCAACCTAACTGTGAATCTCTTTGATTTAGTTTCGCTGTTTTGTACTGCATCCTCGCTAGACTTTATTTATAACTTTCACTTCTCCTTTCTTCAGTTTTGGTCACGTCTTTTGTTCTCTTCTATGGCTTTTTCTGCTACTGTATCAAAACTTATCGTTAGTCTTTTCTTTGTGGTTGATAACGTTTTACTTCTTCTTTAACTGAGCTATATTTTCTGATGTGTCATGTGTGACTAATAAGTAAGTGTTGGCTTGTAGTGCAGCCTACTATTTATTTCTATTGTGGTAATTAATTAAGCAAGTGTTTGGTGTGATCATCTTTAGTTAGCGCTCCTGTGTCCTGCTAGCCATGCTTTCACTTTGCACGTCAATTCTTATTACAAAATCTTGGTTCTCAAACCCACCAAGTACGAAACTCCCTTGAGTTATGATTTTCTTTAAACTCACTGATTTTAATTTTTCTCTTCGTGATTTGACCGAACTGTGCTTGCACATTGTATGATTTTTAACTACAATATGTGTTACGGGGTAACTTAGATGATGTGTGTTAACACTGACGCCGGTCTCCTTGCGTAGCGAGGGACCGCTTGACTCTTCCTCTCCGTGACATCGCCCCTGCTGGCATCACTCACAGCATCGCTCACAGCATCACTGACATCACTGACAACATCAATAAAATGCTCTCCCGAGTCACCTCCTTCATCCTCCAATGATGCAACCACATCGCATTTGCGCTCTTTTTTACGTTTATTGCGCTTTTTGCGTTTATTCTAAGTATTGTTTTGTTATTGTTGTGTACGGTATAAAGGTCATTTATTCCATTCTCACATCATTCCCCTGCGGTATTCTTTTGCAAATAAAGATGTTTGAGATAATTGATTGATTGTTAGCTGAAACAGCAACGATTGAAAAACTTTAAATTATTTTATTCATGTTCTGCTTCAGTTTAGAAATACTTTATCAGATTAAGTTCATCACCCGAGTTTTGTTTGGCCATTAACCCTCTACCGCCTGACACGAGTAACCGGAGCAATATTGTTATGCGCCTACTTCCCAAAAAGGATACGTTCTAGTGAGCGCAAAATGACTTGCACTGATGGTTGCCACCACGTACGAAAACTTTATACTGTTCTCTGTTGCGTACAAGCGTCCTCAGGTTGCTACACTCAATAGTTTACGTATAATTCAACTTGAAAGTTATGTTCCCGGAGAGTGATATACGGCGGTAGAGGGTTAAAATGTAAGTGCAGCTTTTTATGTATTGAATGCTGACGATGACTACGACTGAATTCTTGCTTCTGAAAATTTGTTTGTGGCAATTAATGTGGAGATTCAAATTCCAACTGATAGCAATTGTGCTATTTTTTTAAATTCTAGCCCTTTTTGCATCGCGTATGGTTTTAATTTAGCGTTTAATGTTTCATGTCATATTTTAGGTCACTATTACTTTATACTCACCGTTATTGTTGTTTGTTTTGTTATGGGCATTTGTTACTTGTTATTTGGGATTTGTTGCTTTGCTGGTGTTGTCTATTGTTATTGAAAGATATTAAACTTATCAATTAAGTTGTTATTTTCTTTTCCTGCACTTAAATCTATTACGGCTAAATATTTTGCATGACCGTCACTCGCTTCGTTGTTGCTAAATTAATCATGACCGCACAAATTTCCTTTGTAAATGCAGTTTTTTCACCTGCAACTCACGTATAACTCACAAAGTTGAAGCAGACGGAAATGCGTGGTGCATTTCGGAACTTTCAGACTCGCCATTAGTGCATGCAAATAATTCTGATCCTTTTTTGGCCTTCTTCTCTTCAGAAGGCCAAGTATAACTCTTCAGTAACTTCATTTCTATATGTTGGATCCTAATTTTCGCGTCTCCTCGCCTTCTCATGTTTTTCGTTTGCTTGTTTTATGCTAGGGAACTTATCACTTTTTTCTTATCCTGTTTTTCTTCTGACTTCGTTTGATTTTGCGTTGACGCCGCGGAATGTCGCGTACGTATCACAGCTTCTGTTTTTTTGCACGTTTATGTATCGGGTGCTTGATGCCGCGCCTATGTTTCTATACTAACCAACCTCTTGTCTTTTTATACCAGTCACGAGCCTACAAAAGTTCAAATTTGTTATATCGCTCAGGAAAATCAATGTGTTATAATAAGGCCTGCACGCTCCCTCTGATCTGATATATTGCCGCGCTTGTTGCAGTGGCATAAGACACACGAATTTTAGCGTCACTGTTTTCTCATGGATTTACCTTTTGCCCACACGTGTTACTCTGCCATGTTACACACGTGCTGGTGTGACGTGCACGTGCTGGTCACACGCGTGCTGGTCACGCACGTGTTGGTCACACGTGTGCTGGTCACACACGTGCTGGTCACACACGTGCTGGTCACGCACGTGCTGGTCACACACGTGTTGGTCACACACGTGCTGGTCACACACGTGCTGGTCACGCACGTGCTGGTCACACACGTGTTGGTCACACACGTGTTGGTCACACACGTGTTGTGTGCTGGGTGCTGCGCAGGTTCGCTGCTGGACGCGCGCCCTCACCTCAAGCCTGTCAAGACGCACGAGCTGAGCGAGGCCTCGCTGCACGCGCAGCAGATCTTGCACGGTAACCAGGGTGTTGTGTAACGTTATGGTATTATGTAGTGCTATGGTGTTATGTTAATAATAATAATAATGTAGCGTTCAGGTGCTGTGTAACGTTACGGTGTTATGTAGTGTTATTGTGTTATTGTTAGGACAGGTTAAGGTAACGGGCAGCAGGGGTGTTTTGTAGGTAGCGTTATGGTGTTAATGTTAGGGCGAACTAACATAACGGAGATCGGGGTGTCATATCGTTTTATGACGTCACAGCGGTGTTGTTAAAGCGGGGTAACGTAACAGGGGGGAAGGGAGGTCTTCTATAGTGTTATGTTATTATTAGGGGGGCCATGGGATCTGGGTGTTATACAGCGTTATGATGTTATAACATATAGCGAAGTGAGGCTGGTGGTGGTAGTGTCCATAATGAATCGGAGCGTTAGTGGAGCAGAGTAACGAATAACTGAGATGATAACAGCAACCTGAAATATGTTGGTACTGCCACTAAACTTTACGAGAATTAATATGCATATTAGTACTGTTTTACCTTCATTCATTGTTTTTATAATAGGATGCTTTTGCCAATTCCGGCTATAGACCGTTCATTATTACACATCAGTACACAAAACAACGCAAACATCAGTATTGTAAGATAGTGGGAAATTTCAGTGCAAAGGAGTAATAATGTAATTCAATTATCAATTATTATCATTGGTCCTGCATTAAAGCGAGGTGATGTTTCTGTAGCTCTATTCTCGCATTGAACTTTCATGTAACTATTACCTTATAACAATGAAGAGAAGATTTAGCCAAGCTACTAGGTAGAAATTTGTTTTGAAGAGAGCAGAGAGAATTAAGCAAAGTTACGACGTTTATGTAATCTAATTATTTCATTGTTTGAACAGGATTTACTTATAATTCTTAGTTTATTATCAAAAACATTTTATTGTTTCACCAGGATTTCGTTACTATTCCTAGTTTATTATCAAAAATGGAATTGTTATTTATGATGAAAATGTTTTTCTTTATAATCGAGTTTGCTTCAAGTGTTCATTAGCAGGTAACGTTCCGTGTTGAGTAGCACGTATTCTCTTAGCGTTTGAGTTGAATTGCTTCCATGCGAGGAGAGTGATGACACGCTTGTGGATGTTCTGCACAGTTAAAAAAATTACCGTTAACGGTATTACCGGCGTTTCAGTGGCCGGTCGGCACGTGAAGAGAAACACCGTGTCACCGTTTTTATTCTAATTTAACACTAGAAATCCGTAAAACATCTGATAAAAACGGCGAAACAGTTTATTTTCACGGGGCGACCGGCCACTAGAACGCCAGTGGGACCGTTCTTTCACCGTTTTTTCTAACGGTGTGTGTCCTATGCTTTTTTGTTACTTATTTGAATAGTGGGGATAATCAACAAGTTTTAATGTTATACGAGTTGAATCAGAGCTGCCAACGCTGCTAGCTCCATTGACTTGCTTCTTTTGTTTATACTTCGTGCTTTGCTTCCTCCCACATCTCCGCTTTATGCCACTCGCATTTCAATACTTAAATTTCACCAAGAATTCCTGTGTTATTTTATCCGTATTGCTATTCTCCACAACATTCGCCTCACGTTTTTACTCGATTATCCAACAGTTTTCTATTACAATTTGCGCCAGACAGTTAACCTCATCTATAACCTTCCAACATATTATTTTTATCGGGTTTAGTTTCATTCTCATTCTTCTGTTGGTCTGCCAGCATCTCCATCAATCTCCTTCTATCATCTGCATCTCTCAGCTCTGTTCCAGCACTGTTCGTCCATACGCAATTAAGACCCACGTTCCTGAGCAGAATTTTCTATTGTATCAATGCTATTGTAGATAGATATACCATCGCAAATATTCACACCTTAGGATGCTAGAAAATACTTTAAATTCGAAGATTTTACAGTCCTGATCTTCATTTGTTTCCGATTTCATGAGTTATTTCGTCTGTTTATTCGAGTGCGACAAGATTCGATTAGACGTGTGGGCTCAATTTCTACAGTTGAAACATTGAGACATGATCGTGGATGTCCTGAAGGTATACATGGAGTTATTTCTTAACACAATAATCAGTTCAATGTTTTCGCTCAAGTAAATGACTACTCCATCGATAAGCTTACAACAATAGATAATTTATTCGCTTGCTTAGATCAGCTTAAGTCAAGATTCACTAAGCCAAGTGAGACCACAATTGAAGATATGGCAGACTACCTTATTGACTAATAATGTAATACTACAATCTTAGCCTGTGCTTTAGGCGAGCAAATATTGACTGTGGCAAATATCAGATCGATTATTGACTGTGAATGTTGACTGTGGCAAATATGGACTGTGAATTGTGTGCACTTTGCCGCTGGACGCAAATTATGCATGCGTAGCACCGTTGTTTGGGTCAGAAAAGCAGGTATCTTTTCAGCGCGACATGTTCTCCTCGTCGTCATAGCTGTAATTTGTAATGATTTGTACGGACTGCAGGCGTGGGGTCAGGCCTCACGAAGCTGGCACCCACGACGAGCACGGAGAGCCCCAAGTGGTCACCTACAGGAGTGTCGGCGGTGGTGCTGGGGCTGCTGGCCGTGCCTATCATTGTGCTCACCTCCATCTCCCTCATCATCAGGGTCAAGAAGAGAGGTGCTCCTGTCTTCCTGTGTCTTGCTTTCACTCTAACAATTAATATACTACTTGTCTAAGATTTAATTCACTCACCTTACACTGTGGCATATTGCGGTAGTAAAACTCTGTCTTGAATCTCAATTATAGAACATCACGTAGCGTGACGCGTGACGTTCTAAATCTAAAACATTAGCTTGTTATAACCTTGGCTTTTTATAACTTTCGCTTGTTATATCCTGCCTGCAAAACAAAGGGATTATAGTAATGACTAGCATCGTAATGATCTACCATTTGGCAGGCGCTATTCACATACGCAGCAGCCGTAACGGTACAGCAGGCTTAGGGCTCCACAACGGCACTGGGGGCGCTGGGTGGCGCTCTGAAGGCAACGGGCTGCACCAGCTCGGGTCGTCGCTACTCAACAAGCACAGAGGCTTCACTAAACTCGCCACGGAGGACATCGATGAACCAAGCTCCGGCGACTCTGATATTGAAGAATTCTCTCAAATGAGCGCTAAAGCCTAAACTTAGCTTCATTTCGCATTAGGAAAAAGCTCTACTACATTTAGTTACTATCAGTCTGGGCAAGCGAAGGATGCTGTTACATCCTTGCTACTTGTCCTCATGTGTTGGACTTGTCGTCATCCTATCATTCCGACAAGCGTAGGTCAAATGTCAACTTCTTAATTTCCGATGGAGATTAACTTGGGATTCCAGACGACATCGGCTGCTCGGGAAGCCAACTGGTAAAACTTATTCTTTCTAACTGACATTCGGTATTTTAGTTATGACATGACTGGAGTGGAATGACTGCCAATAAAACGGTAATGAATACTAAATTGCGCACGAAGCAACAAAATTAAGTGAAGATATTTCACTCTGTGTTGTGTCGGTGAGTCGCTGTCCACGTGCCCAAACAGCTCTGGATGAGTTGCTTCTCCATCTGCCGTGCGACACGTTCTTAGTCGCTGCATAAATAATTATATTTAATTGATATGTTGATGTGACCTCTGCTTCATGAATGAAAATTTCAACAGGAATGAATGCCATATTGCATATATTATCTTGATTTATTGTGTGTCCTCGAAAGCCGCCATGTTCATTGTATATCGGACGCTGGAGTTTCACTCCTATTGCGGAGCTGAATATCTAAAACTTGACCGGGTTATACGACGGAAATATCATGGCTAAGATTCCTACGTATAATTTATTCTCAGTAATCCTCAACAATCGAGCAAGATATGTTATTTACAGATGGCCGCTCATCTCGGGTAATAATTTGTCTTTGGTGCAGTTCAGGATTGTGTTTCATGCTTTTAGTATTACTGTGGTAATACTCAGTGGTATGATACTTCACTGCCAACACATTCCGACTGTTCATACGACCTGAATTATGTTCTTATCTGCTGAATTATTACCGAGTATGAGGAACACGAGAAATAGAAACTTGTGACTTAGAACATTAGTTAACTTGTCCCAGCTCTAGTTATTGGTTGCTACTGAAAAACGAGGTGACATCGACCATTTTTAGCGCTTACTTTTTTGTGATACCAATAGTCAAGTAGTAAATGTATAAAATATTATATCTCTTTATTGCATTTGTAGGTTATCTCATAGTACTTCAAGAGCCATCAACTCAATTTTTCTAAGGCAATAACTTTTTGAGTATATAGTTTTCTTGTCTTAAATGTCCAAATGGTCCAAGTCAACCCGTTTTACGGTACCTTATTATGACTGGACAAGTCAACCAATGTAGACAATGTCTGTACACCTAACGGGACAATTAGATCAACTCAGCGGGGAGAAATCAATCATGCTTATGAAGAGCTTTTCATATATTTACAATGCATGAGTTAGAAGCTCCACCATTAGTGTTCAGTACTCATGCGTCGCTGCACGCCACAAAGGCACGACATGAAGCAATGACTTGCATTCCTCGTCTTAACCTGCGCTGTGTCCAACATTGGGACGATGTTTGGTCCGGGCTATCTTGATTATCTAACAGCGATAACTACAATTTATTTGTTTTAAATACAGGTGTTGAGATCCTACGATACAGCGTGTAGAGTATTGAATAAAAGTATTATGATCATCTAACTGCTTGAAGCGCCAAGCCACGAAAAGTTTTAAAGCTAATTTAAAGAATGACAAGGAAATTCACATTTCCAATGGAAGCGTTCCCGAGTCCAGGTCCGGCTTTTGGAAGATGGTCCATCAACTTTTCTCATAAGCATTTCCAATAAAAATATAATGCATCGTCATCAGTTCTCTGAAAGTAACAGATATGTTAGCGCTCAATTTTATTATTTTATGTTTGTTAAATTTTATTTTCTATTATAAATCTGTCATATTTTTATAGATAAATATAGTGTGGGTAATGAATGGGACATTTATTCTATTGGATTTTAGCAAGTTGTGCTTGGACTACATGCCTGTGATGTGCGTTGTGCAATTCATGTTGTTTCGAAGATAATTTAAGTTCACTTAAGTGAACGACTTTTAATGTTAACAATATGATTTGTATGTCTGATGTCCGACCTACATTGTTTGGTTTTATTGAACATTTTCAGGATTGTTAATGTTAAACTCGTCAAATTGATTTTATGTTGCTTCCACGGAAGAACTAAATTAACGTGTTACGCAACCATACAAATAAGGTAGCGGATAATAAGTTACAAGGTAGCGAATAAGAACGTTCCGAGTTCCATTAAATCTCGGCACTCATAACGACGAGCTATAACTACTCGGGCCGTGCTCGTATACAAGATACTAGTGTTCCTATCACCGTCAGCCATCCACTGAGTCTAGCTGTGACACATGAGTCACAGACGTCGAATTGCCGCTACGTGTAGCAAGGCTGCTACGTGTAGCAAGGCTGCTACGTGTAGCAAGGCTGCTACGTGTAGCAAGGCTGCTACGTGTAGCAAGGCTGCTACGTGTAGTAAGGCTGCTACGTGTAGCAAGGCCGATATGTGTACTTTTTTGAGTTTTAATATTAGGGCCCCAAATGATCTTGCCACCAAATGCATTCCTCTGCACTTCTGGAGATCAGGAAAAAGCTTTCCATGTAGACAAAATATTTCCGTTTCGTGAAATTTAAGGTTACAGTCATTCCATTTGCATAGTTGGCTGAATAGATGCACATGCATTCGTGATGCTGAATCCAGAGAAAAACATTCCACAATAACATCCACATGTCATGTCGTGAATATGGAAAGTTTTTACTTATATTAGTGTTACATTCGCACTCCACGAAAGTTGTTCAACTCGCAGTTGTGAATGCAATGATGAACGTAAATGCTGATTATACCAGTATATCCTTAACACTCAAACTAATTTTACCCCTTCATTCCTCGGAGGAAGTATTACCAAATTAATATTATAAGTCCATAAGTACTTAAGTAGGAGGCATAAATTTGTTGACTTCAAAGTATTTAAATCTAGTATTAATAAACACGCGAGCTTAGATGTGCTACTAAGTGAGTGTATTCACTCTCGTCATCCTATGACACTAACACTAAGCGCTTCAGAATAAGCTTTAGTGCCAGATACATTTTTCTACTCTTATCATAAGCTTCAATAAGTCGCCTGCTTTTGAATTGAATGAATTGACGAAGTAACTCAAGGGACACTCTGGGTAATTATCCAAAAAACGATGTATTTGTGCGCCTGTGTTGCTCATTCTGATCGAGTTTGGCCCGGCAAAAGGGCGTATCAGTGCTACGCCCGCTCTGTGATCGTGCTCTTGGTAAAAAGTGTGTCAACATCTGAACAATTTGACCTTACGTTCATTTTCCTGGTTGTAGAGCAATAGTTGTCACCCTGCCGCCATCGCTCCTGAGAACTGCTTGTCTATAAGCTAACTTAGTTTTGTGATCAATACTTAGAAAAATTAATGGTTTTACTAAAATTAATGTATGAATTGTGTCCGAATAGTGACTCTTTCTGCACTCATCTCTGATATGCCCAAATTGGCTCAGGAAGACCCACAACAGGGCTAGAAGTGCATCGCTCATAAGACTCTGTCTCATTCAGTCTTTTGTGTGTACCGACGTGCAGAGAAGGAAGTGTATCTTTCTTACCAGCTCGTAGCGTCGCGGCAGCATGAGAGGTAAATGCCAACACCGTGCGCTCTCTCACTCATTACCGATGTTTAACTGCACACAAACTTTCAAATGGTGGTTATTATAGGTAATTATTACTGAATAACGAAGATGAACTATTTCTTTAATGGTTATGCTTATGGTAAACCTCATGTGTGAGAACTTCACATTTTTTACTGTAACTGATGTAATGATGAAGTACTCGCAATGTGCAGATAATTACGTACTTCATTGTACGTAATTTATTAATAATTATTAATGATGAAGGTTTGGAGTCTGTGAGGGAACTGCACTCAGGAGACTTCTCCGATTCTTCCGTTGCTTTTGTCAAACAAAAGTTTGCTTGTAGAAAATTTTTCGATATTTTCATCAAAATTTAGTTTAGTTTTAATTAAAATATCATAAAAATTCTTTTCAGAGTATCTAAAATATTCTATTCAGCTGCGATTGTCAAAGGTTTCGTTTAATCAGTTACGTTTTCGTTCAGTTGGAGAAAACGCAAATGATTATTTCACGAAGTATAAAAATCTTATTTTCTGTCCATTTTGGACAAGCGTGAGTTCGGTGGAGTTCAAATATTCGGTACAATATTCACCGCTCAGCGTCTTCCTACGCTCATTTAAAACAATTTGTTATTTTATTTGTTATTAGTAAACTGGGCAAACGTTTGTAATCCTCGCAGTTTTTTTATATGAAATGGGATAAATAATTATAACGTGTTTCTCTCAAGTTTTTTATTTGCGTGTATTATTGTGTGGTGAACGTGAACATATTATGCAAATACAGGAATATATACACATGGTTCGCTCCTGTATTATGCAAATACGGGAATATATAGACATGGTTCGCTTTTCGTGTATGTGGCTATCATTAGTGCATGTTCTGTGAATCACAATCTCATGTCACTGTAGAATAACCCTTCGTTTCTTACAATAATTTCGTATCTATCCAATTTACTTGCCAGCGTTTTAAGTTAACAAACTCTGAAATAATTTCTGTTATATAGGTAATACTTTTCTCACGGTATGAATTGTATTTTCAAACCATTGTTGAATTACTAAAGTCACTTTGTTTCTTAAGGTCAATTTATTCCTGGAAAATTTCATGTGTCGCGCAGACACTTAGACTTGTTAGCACCCAAATATGACTGGCCTGAAGAATATATTCACGAGATTTTGCAGATTTTTATCTTAAATCATCAGCTAATTACTCACAGTAATGTTGAACTCCCTGTTTCTTTCAAGCCTATTGTTGTGGCAATAAGCCTAGCCAGTGCAAATAAAACTGCATCAGTTCTGGACCTATAATACTAATTTTGTTCGGTTTCCTTTATAGCAACAAACAATATAAGTGCATATGTCTGTATATATCCATTTATAGTGTAATAATATGCAGCTGTGTAAAGCACCGTCTCTGTGTTTTGTGTGCAATATAGAACCTAATAAATACTTGTATAACTGTTGAAAGTGTGGTTTATGTATGAACTGAATAGGGTGATGTGTGTCTGAATGTTCTCGTGTACTGAATCATTTTATATCGCACATTAGCTGTATTTTGTGTATGACACTTAGGTTACATTAATGCCATTATACTATACTTCTGTCAGAGATGCTGAAACTACACAAGACTTTCTGACATGGTAATAAACATTTTCCTGATCTGGATATTACAATTATTATCCCCTATTTCATCTTTGAGCCCGTGGTCTTCCGCCTCTTGGTTATGAAAAAGTTTGTAATATTAATAGAAGTGTATATAAATATTGAATAGGCAAAATTAGGCCTATTGTCGATTTTAGAAATCATTGTTTATATTCTATGTTGATGAACAACATAGGAAGAAATTGGAGTTAGTTCGTCACCAACAATGTGTTATATTCTTTGTTGGTGAGACACAATGTGTTCATCACCAAACACTTTCAGGCGATCAAATTAATAATAATGACAATATTTAGGTATTTGCTTCCTTACGAGTTACTACATACGAAGAAATATGCTTTAATAGGGTAATAAATCAATAAAAATTAAGGTTGTAATTTTGTTTAGATTTCAGTATTGCCAAGAATCAGCGAGTTAAATTCTATTTACATCAAAAGTTACTGATTTCTAATGAATTTAACCGAAAATATAGGTAGGAGTCCTATCTAAATCCGTATTTATTAAGACTTTTGAATTTTGCTTTGCTTAACCACCCATCCTCCTAGCCAATTTTGACCAGAAATTGGCACACCTGATCGACACTTCTCCGAACTCGCCTGTGAACTCAAACGCAAAACCTAACTATATATAAACGCTCAAACGAACAACTCATAAGTCATTCAAAAATCAAAACTAAACGGATCTGCTTGAAATATGGAATATAAGTAGGTATTATCAATGCGCTGAGGCAGGAACAATTACAGATTTTTACATCACTTCGTTTCCAATTAAAACGGAAAATGCAGTTTTTAGCAACCGAACCACTCACAAGTCCTTCAAAACTGAACAGATCTGCTTGAAATTTGGAATATAAGTAGGGGTTACCAATGAGCCGCGGCAGAAACAATTCCAGATATTTATTTTCGTTTCCAATTAAAACGAAAAAATGAAGTTTTTGTCAACCGAACCACTCATAAGTCCTTCAAAACTGAACGGATCTGCTTGAAATTTGGATTATAAGTAGGGGTAGTCAATGAGCCGCGGTAGAAACAATTCCAGTAATTTACATTACTTCGTTTCTAATTAAAACGAAAAAAATGCATTTTTTTCAGCCGAACCACTCATAAGTCCTTTAAAATTGAAAACGAAGTGGTACTCTGCTGAACTGAAGCCACTGGGCAACCCTGCCACATTATGAAGTTTTTGCTTCAATCTGGAAATGTCTGTGCTTCAATAATGATCCCAAGAGTGGATAAAAATCTGAAGTGGGTTAGCTTAAACAATAGTGTCATGATAATTTAGGTGCCATCATTTTTTTAATGATTATTTCAGAGAAGTACATAAGGAATTTTAGTACAACCATGGCAAACACAGAAATGACTATAGATGACTATCAAATCCTGTCTAAAATATTCTAAGAATGGAATAATACTTACCTAACACACGCTCGCATTTATTTTTTTACAGTAAACTCATATTTCTCGGGTCCACGAACACGTTCATCGAGCGTTTGCCTGAAAGTCACAATTTGAAATACCGCTTCTTCATTTCACTGTTTTGTTTTCTGTTTGGCAGTAGGTGGCATTACGTGGTTTGGAGAGGTTGTGTGTGAAGCAGTGCAGCATAGTCTCGTACGAGTGAAGTGCTTCATGCTGTTTCTTTGACCGAGACTAATTTTGTCTCCATTTTTATTCTTCATTAAATTTCTAGGCATTTCGTTTATTTTTATGATTCGATGGATTGTATTTATCGAATGAAAAAAAGCACCAAAACTAATGACGTCAAAGCACATGTTTCTTTCGACGCGTGGAGTTTCCCCGCTTGTTGCAGCTACTTTTTTTCGAACCACTTGAGGATTCTCGGCAAAATGTCCCCTAAAAAATAATTAATTCTGTTTTAGGAAGAAATTGACTGTTGAAAACCTTTCTGCGGTTTTTTGTAGTTTGTAACTGACAGATAGGTTGCTTATTTTCAAAAGTTATTTGTCGCCTGTGCCAATAAGCGGTACATTTAATAGTGCGGTAGTCATCGTGTGCACGGCTACTTTAATAGTGAGGTGGTCGTGTTTAATAGTGATGTAGTCGTCAACGGCATTCAAGGTTATACACCGCAATTTTCATCTGATATTTGGAATATTTCTGCTAATCAAAGCTTTTCTGCTGACGCTAAAAATTTAACTGGAGGAGTGAGGACTGGTCGTCTCTGCCCTGAATTGTACATTGTCAATGTCATATCAGTCACCAATTGTGTAACACGAGGAAGGATATATCCAAAGAAAGAACTCTTTGTTTTGCCAGTACATCCGCCCCTGCTCTTCTCCTGATAAGAGTTATTGTGTTCTCACCTGTGCTCCGCACGCCCCATTTACACTGAAGACGGGATCGAATCGATTGCGAGCCTGCGCAGTTTAGTTAAACTAAGCCATGTGTTTTGTAACTAGTGCTATGGCAATGTATTCATAGATGTGCATTTGAGTACAGCAATTATTAGGAGACAAATTTTAAGATAACCTTTGCTTTACTAACGAATACATTGGTCATGGATGCCTAAAGTCCTAAACTACATGGAGCTTACCTGGCGATATTAGGCAAGCAATGTTCCTTGAATGAACTGAAGTGTGCCACCCAATGCCATGTAAAAACGAAATAGGTAATTAAAATGACGCTATTGGCGCAGTACACACCAACGTCGCTAGTAGCGTCGAATATGTTATTTTATATCTGGCAAATACGTATTGATAATATATCTACTGTATTAAGCAATCTCCGAAGTATTAAACCTCGTTGGGACCTCCTTTATTCATGTCGATATCAGTTCGATGCTTGCGACTTGAACTAAACTCATGGGGTGTTCAGTCTGTGATGTTCAAGAAGTTTTAGCATGAAATTTACGCAATCTTCATTTAATTTTGATAGTTTCTTTGTTTAGTTTATTATTTGTTTTTGTGTCGCTTATAGGGGAAATCTAAGTCTAAACGGGATTTAGCTGTTGACAGCCATGCATCGAACTATGCTGTTAAATTCCTAAATCTTAATCAAGAAAGTTCGTTCATGTTATTCCATTTTTGTAATTTTAACCATGTGCAGCACCGAAGTTGCAAGACGATCAAATCTCTTTTTTGTCATTCATCAAATTCTTTCGCTTGTTGGTCTTAGATGTGCGTAGTACGTCGGATGAAGTAATATTGAAGTTCATTTTAGTTTTCAAACGTTAAAAGAAGCAAATATTAATGCGTCACATAATGTGTGTCTATCATTGAATGCCATTTGCCTACTTCACGTGCATATTATTTCGAACATCGTATTTTCTCGAAGTTTGATTATTTTTCACTTTAAGTTTATAATTGGCGTTAGATTTCTTATACATCGCAGTGTCAGGCATTCGACATTTTGGAGATCCCAAGATTTTAACCTTATCTTAACGTGAGTGAATATAACTACTTCAGACGAGACCCGTAGAACATTAGACGATATATCTAATTTCATACTTTTTATAATACTCGTATTAATATATAATTACATAGTACCCTAATTTAGTACTCTCACGATAAATTTCATCATATTTCGTTATGAAAACATTGCCGGAGGAGAAAATGTTTCCATTAGCCTCCAGTTTTCCTTGCCCAACACCTCCTCTGGCTGCGCCCTACGAAGACCCCACGCTGCTGGACGCAGTGTTCAGAAGCGCGGGGCGGCGTACGGTTATCGTCGTCAGCCTCGACGCTGTGAAGCATAACATTGCAGCACTCAAGGCACTCGTGTCACCGACTACTGGTTAGGATTTAGATACTTTTCTATTTAATAACCAATAACGCCGTTATTGCAGAATGGTGCGTGACTAATAATGTCGTTACTAAGTAGTCTAACTGTATTAAACACTTTAGACAAGCACTCGAATACACGGAAATTTGTTCATTCACCGAAAACAACACCTGCATCCTACATGAGAATACTCAGTTTAATAGTATGCGAGTTCATTCACGAAAAGAACTGATGATTATCAATGGAAGCTGAGCTCACTGGTAAGTATACGATATCACCGCATCATTTATAGTAACATCCCCAAATTGCATAGTGCCAAACGAGAGAATTTTAGAAACTGTTCATTTTTAATTCTCTCATCTACCGTTGTTGAAAAATTTATTCGATCGTTATGTACAGTACATATGAACGATAATGCTGGGATCCATAGTACTCTACTAGTCTACTCAAGCTACACAAAAATGAAGTCTGAGAAAGTCTTTGCTTTGCTACTATGCTAACTTACACCATATATACCGTGAATATACCACCATATATAACCTCCAAGTACCACCATATACGTATAACCTCCATGTGCCACCATATATAACCTCCATGTGCCACCATATATAACCTCCATGTACCACCATATACGTATAACCTCCATGTGCCACCATATATAACCTCCATATGCCACCATATATAACCTCCATGTACCACCATATATAACCTCCATGTACCACCAGATATAACCTCCATGTACCACCATATATAACCTCCATGTACCATCAGATATAACCTCCATGTACCACCAGATATAACCTCCATGTACCACCTGTCAGCATAACACGGCCAAGTGTCGTGCTCGAGACACGGGCTGATGCGTTCAGTTGGTCGGCCACGATATTATTCGATCAAATTGCAATTTGATATTCGTGTCATAGTCGAAGGTCGTGCGCAATTATTAGTCGCTCTTATAGGGATATTAGTGAATAATTCTTATGGTGAGGGATAGTAGATACACGAGTAGTGACTTTGATAACAACTATGATGGTGGAATCAGAATTTTTAAAACTTACGCTGAAGTGAACTATGTGGTAAGTCTAAGTGAGATATGGCGCGTATGTATGATAATGATAGTCGCAACTGTAATGATGGAATAAGAATTTGGTAAAACGTGCGCAGAAGTGATGGCGGTGGTGAAGGGAGGTGCGTACGGCAGTGGGGTGATGGGGGTGGTGGGTGCCGTACTCGAGGCGGGAGCCACGGAGCTCGCGGTCGCCACCGTCAGCGAGGGCGTCTTCCTCCGCACGCAGGGCGTCGCTGTGCCCATTGCAGTTCTGGGTAACGGGCCACATCATGTATATATTCATATTGTTATATTTCTCTGTATAAAGTCTGATGCAATATTGTAACTATGTCTCTATCTGATGTCTCTCCGATGTAACTATTATACATGGATAATTTTCTTTATCTGATCTCATTTTGATGTGATATTATTATACATCTCTCCCTGATGCTTCCGAGTAACGTGTCAGGCGATATATTATTATACATATTTCTCTCTGATGCAACACTATTATCTTTTTCTGTCTGGTATTTCTTTGACACAAGAATATTATATAAATCTTGTTCTCTGATGTCAAATCACCTATGCGGTAATTAACTCTCTGAGTTAGATCTCCTCTCATGCGCACAGTCTCGTGTTGATACTTGCTCCATATTTGGCAGACATAAATACAAATATTCAAGTCCTTTATGAAAAATAAGAAGATTATTTCCAGTAGATTTCCAGTGCGAGGAGGTGATAAAATCAAAATGTAGTCGTATAGTTTATGAGCTAAAATCAAATGCTATTCAGGTCCGGACGATATTTCAATTGTTCATATTTCAAATATTCAATTGTTCATATTCAAAATATTTCAGGTCCGGCGTATATTTTCAATTGTTCTGCTAATTCCACAGAATCGTTTTCGAAAATTGGAGAAATTATGATATCCATTGCTTTCCTCCGTATTCAGCGCCTCATGGCGAACTATCTTCGCTATTCATAATAGTGTAACTCTACAGCATTTGAATAAGACCTGATTTCCGTGTGCCAATGACCCATCGCTTATGTTCTATTTTAAAACTTTTTTATTATTGGTTTGTAAGCTAATTTTTCTTGTGCTTTTCACTATGAAAATTAGCTTTCCCGTTGCAGGCAACCTGAACCCAGAGGAGCTGCCTGACGTGCTCACCTACAGACTGCATCCTACCGTGGGGTGGGCGCGCGCGTTTCAGCAGTCAGAGCCCATCTCTCTCAAGTATCACGTATGCACCGAGATATGAACTGTAGAACTTGTTCAGTAATTATTAAGGTGCAAATTAGAGCGTCATCCTTTCTTTCTGCAGTAATCCTGGAAGTTCCTCGAACTCTCAGCTGCTTTATAACACCCTGAAGAAGCTCAGTGATGAGGGAAACGTGTCGCCTGATTTTTATTTATTTATTAGACAGCTGGAGGAACTAAAATCTAACGAAGTTTTGAATAAAATGGAATTCTTTCTAATTAGACTGGTTCTAATGAATGGCTCTGCCCTAAATATAAGAAATTATATTACATATACCGGGCCCGCGCTATGCTCTGCAGAGCGTCTTCAACAGCTGTCAACAAATTATCAAGTATCCACGTCTGCAAATTAGAGTACGTGTCGTCTCGAAGATTTTCCTGTGTACGTGAGAAATTAATTGTAGAAGGCTCTGGTAACTTGAGCGAAAAAATTTATGGAGCGAAAACTGGAGCATTTGTTCAATAATTGTTGGCATGGCTTATGCATTTTTCAATGAATAAATTAGTTTTTTCGTGAATAACTACAACCTATCTAATAGTGATTTATTTTCTTGGTGACGCCGAATCCAGGTCCCCATGTATTTTTATGTTTGGGTCGATTTGAAAATTTCATGACGTTCTCTTTCGAATTTAATATAAGAAATGGTCGTGGACGTCTCGATATTTGGCCACCTGACGAATTATTCATGCTAACGTTGCAAATAACGTAAACTTGAAAAAAATATCATCAAAGTTGTATATTTTGTATATTTTCTTGAAGTTTTGACAAACTTTTAGCGTAGATTTTACGGAAAATATTCTATATTTCTAACACAATTTGTATGTATTAAGGGCCGCTAGTGAAATGAAATTTAGCTTACAGATGATGAAAACAGTCATTTAATTCAATGGATAATCTTGATATGCATTGTCGCGCTTCTCAAGGTTATTGCCGCAACTGTTGCATATGACTCGTAGGTTACACTGTCAAGTTCTTTGACTTGGGCCTTATTATACGTTGTTGCGGTTATACTTGAAGTATTTCACAGTTGAGTTTTCTTGAAACTCTGCTTGGAAATTATTTTTAAATTTGCTAAACCGAACAGGACGGGAGCCCTTTGGAAGTTCACGTCGAGATTGACACAGGAATGTCTCGCTTTGGAGTTCAGCCCCAAGACTTGGCCGAGCTCATGACAACTCTTGACCAGCGAGGAATCAAAGTTCGGTCACTTTACACACACTTCCAATCTGCTATCACTGAGCGCGACCTCAACAAGCGACAATATGACAGCTTCATAGAAGCCACCAAGGCTTTCCCGTGAGTGACCACTTCTTTTGGGGCAGTGACTGTCAAAAACATTAAACTGTCAATATTTCTATCAATAAGCTATCTAATACTATATACTGAACTTAATCTCATAACCCGTCGCGCTGAAATTCTTCTCCTAACCGTTCGGGCAGAATTTTTTTATTACCCGCCATGGTGAACTTTTCTTCATCACTCTTCATGGTGAATTTCTTTAATTAATCAACCGTCATGGTGAACTTTTTTTTATCACCCGTACTGGTGAACGTCATTTCATAACCCGTCCTGGTGAACTCCATTTCATAACCCGTCATGGTGAACTTTATTTCGTAACCCGTCATGGTGAACTACATTTCATAACCCGTCATGGTGAACTTCATTTCATAACCCGTCATGGTGAACTTCATTTCATAACCCGTCATGGTGAACTTCATTTCATAACCCGTCATGGTGAACTTCACTTCATAACCCGTCATGGTAAACTTCATTTCGTAACCCGTCATGGTCAACTTCATTTCATAACCCGTTAAGGCGAAGTCTATTCCTTGCAGCGGAATACGACGTCACGCTGCGGCCACGACGGGCTGCGTGCAGGGTCTGGGGGGCGAGTTAGACTTCATCAGACCAGGCGGGGCCGTCACTGGGCTGTGTTCAGGTAGTTTTCTTCATAGGAAATGGTTGAGGCTGACGGTAATTTGGTAAATTCAGCATCTTCATAAGGGAACAACGTGATTACCATGCTAATTTATGATATAAAAGGTTAAGATATTCCAATACGTAGATATTTGTATGGTATAGAATGTTTACCGTGACTTTAGATATTAAATTTCAACGAAATCCCTAAGCCATACCTCGATCGCTATCACCAGGAATATATTAGTCGAATTACAGTACCGTTAGTCACTTTGTAACTCGTGGTTTATTTGGCTTGGGTGGAAAAATTTACCCGTCATATTTTTGGCTGGCATTCAACATAAAAATTGTGTAATAATAATTTCCCAGTTGAACATTCTGAACATATGTTATAATTAAATTGATAATTCAGTTGTCACAAGCCGATTCTTCTTCTCCGGAATTACGTATGTACGTGATCCGACCAGTAATTTTAATTAAATTAGATTGATATTTTTAGGTTGTCAAAAGGCTAAACTCCAATAATAATAATAATAACAATATTAATAGCGGTTCTAGCGTTTATTAGGCCTTAGGTCTGTCGCCGATTCTTAACATCGCAGAACATTCAAAGCATTTTACGGTCTCGAACTCGCAACTCACTGCTACAATTCTGCTGTGCTTAACCGCCCGGCCTCCTTGCCGATTCTGACCAGAAACTGGCGCACAGAGCTGGGATCGAACCCGCACCTCTCTGCTCCAATCTTGGTACTCTGAACTGTAACCACTGGGCCACCCTGCCCTAGTAATGAATGTTATGTTTGCGATCAAATTACAGGCTCCTCTGAAGCGGATGTCAAGGCATTTGCCGAGTTGGGTTTCCAGCCAAGCTTCTCGTTAGTGGCGCGCCCTTCGTTCTACAAGCTGCTGGAGCCCTGCAGGGGCGTGGGCTACGACAGCACTTACACCTCGAGCTCGCACGAGTGGATCGCTAACTTCAACACAGGATGGTCCGATGGACTCGCCAGGAAGCTCAGCAACTGCGGTCACGTCTTGAGAATTAAAACAGGCAAGTCGATACATTCTGGTTTGTCCTCAGATGATGATTTTTTTGAGACTAACAATGTAAAATATTGTCAGCCATTTCTGTAGCAAGCCTGCAATAATATTTTTTGAGATAAATAGATGTAAAATAGTTTCGAGAATTCCTGTTAGATTAAAAATTTCCTGTATAGATTAAAAATTGTTAGATTAAAAATTTCCTGTATAGATTAAAAATTGACTTTGAGCACAACTATGCATGCAGTCTACGAAGTAGCTGCGAAGACAAGGGCTGAATCTGTTCTTAACCGAACACGTTGATAACTTAGCTGGGCAGGGTGGCCCAGTGGTTACAGTTCAGAGTACCAAGATTGGCGCAGGGAGGCGCGGGTTCGATCCCAGCTCTGTGCGCCAGTTTCTGGTCAGAATCGGCGAGGAGGCCGGGCGGTTAAGCACAGCAGAATTGTAGCAGTGAGTTGCGAGTTCGAGACCGCAAAATGCTGTGAATGTTCTGTGATGTTGAGAATCGGCGACAGGCCTACGGCCTAATAAACGCTGAAACCGCTATTATTATTATGATACTTTAGTGCTTGTAGACAAATGGAATGAGACGGTAGATTCAATAGTAGTTTAGATGGAAAAAGTATTTAGATCACTCTATTACTTGAATCTCTTAATTCGCCAAAAATTTAAAAGCAATGAAGATAGTAAAAAATTCATCATTTCTTTGTAAGAGAAAACGTTTGGGAAAAAAGTGTACAGCGTGCTACACCTCCAGGAGAGCTATGCCCCATCGTGGGTCGGGTTTCTATGGACTCAATGACGGTGCGTGTGCCAGAGGAGCCTGGCGCTGAGGAGACGTTCGTGATCATCACGCCGGACTTCCACCCGCTCACCTCTGCTGTAGGGGTCGCGCGCTCCCTCGGGGCCGCCGTCTACGAGGTGCCTGGCAACTGGGGGAGCAGGCTGCCTAGAGTTACGGTCGAGGGCGGTAAAGTTAAACAAGTTTACCGCAGTCTCGAGTATACCAACTAAAAAAGTTTACCGCAGTTCCAAGTGCACTAACTGAATAATTTTCCCCTTACTCACTATTGAAGCAACTAATAAAAAGTTTATCACAGCCGCGAGGGCACCAGCCAGTCTCGAGTAAGCAAGCCAATTAACGAGATGTGTCGTGCTGTACGTTTCCGTGTACCGTATTATGATACTGTACAAGTTAATGAAAATATTTTGGTCGCGGGTTCGGCAGAAAAAGCGCGCCAAGTACAATGAATTGATTTTTCGACTAACGCGAGATGTATTTTCATACACTGAATTTTAGAAAACTAAATTATTTTTCTTCGATATGAGGATGAATCTTTTATATCGTAGCAAGTAGAAGTTTGTCTGGAACAAGCTAAAATACTATGTACATAGATTTTTAAAACGTAGAAAATATTGAACGGGACCTGAATATATTATATATTACTCAGTAGCCCTACAGCAGCAGCGCTCGTGTAGCGCTGCTTACGATAAGGGAAGGCTTCTTCAGCCGTCAAAATGTGCTCACTTTTTTACCCTAACTCATAAGATTCCACTTCATGACAATTTTTTTAAATTAATTTTCAATTGATGTACGAGTGACGGGTCCACAAATTAATGCTGACAATTTTTCTTGCGTTGTCCTTTTTGTTGCTTCTTGCTACATCGTCGTCGTATACTGTTGCCACGTTTTATTTCTCGTCTTGTTGAAGTTCCGCTGGAATTGTTATACTGCACGCGTCATCTTTCTTGAAACGTCAATTTTATGCTTCAGTTTTAAGCGAATATCGACAGGCTTTGGAAAGAACGCCATAAAAGCTGCACGCTTGTGAACTCTTCCTGCAGCGAAACAACTTTCGATACTTCATTCAAAGTTTTATATTTTTTGATGGCTATCAATTTTATTTGTCCAACTCGGGGAACTTTCTGCGGCTCTTCAAGCACAGAAAGCCTTGATTAACGCAGGTATTATAACGTACAATCACTTACACTAGAAGTTACGAAAAATAGCTCTCTGATTTTGGTCAGTATGGCTATATTATAATATATTTGTTACCTAGACCTATTACCTTGTGGAGTTTGTTAAGAAATAAATATTTTATCGTAGAATACAAAATGCTTGGTGAAAATATTGATTAAAACCCATGAATGATAGCTGTATTGATTTAGAATTATGTAGAATACAAATACAACACTTAATACTTAGGAACAATCTATGTAGCCATCCGTCATTTCAATCTACAGCCTTGATATTTGCACATTGGGTGCGCATGTACTGACAATTCTATAAGCTATTAAGTGGCAACTCAAATGCGCGTCGCAAACAAGAAAAAAAAATTAGGAAATATTTGAACGCACAAGTTTCGTTTTTTGATGCTGATGTACGCATGGTACTGCCCGTAGAGCTTAGGGTGGAAATATAATTCATTCATTGAGAAATGATGGGGCTTGTAGGTAGAAGCGCTCGTTCCTTATTTTAAAAACAAGAACTTAGAATTAGAAAAAAAGACTGCCGCCTTAAAAATAAATCTTACCCTTAAACGAAGTTTTATTCGCCGCTAAAAAAGACTAAATAACAATTCGACCATCAATGTTCAGCGGAACCGATTTGCCAATGCAGTAGCATTTGAAAAAAAAATTGCTTCCAGATTCGATAACGGAATTGAAAATAGTGCAAAATTACTAATCAAAAGCAATCATGCGCCGTGAGTAATCTCTATCCTAAGATGAAAATTGGCGACTCGTGCTTAATTCACACAGCCCATTCATAAATTGAGCTCATGTGTTTATTATCAAACGTGTATTACAAGCATAACAGATAAGTTCGCTCCGTAGTTAAACGTGTAAAAAGACGAGATTCAGCGGTCAATAGTACTTCCGTCCTATTGGCTGCAGAACGAATGATTTTGTAGTTTAGTTACATGGTCACATGTTTGACTAGCACTTCAGGTAGTAGCTATCAAATCAAAAATACATCGTCACTCGTAGAAGCCGGGTCTCAAAAGACCGAGGTCGCTTACACGGGACGTCGGCCGCCCGTACGAGAGAGACAGAGAAGGGATATGTAAGGAATACTACTTACATAATAACTTTATATACGGTACCCTACCTACATAATAACATAATGTAAGGAATCCTACTTACATAATAACTTAATGTAAGGAATCCTACCTACATAATAACTTAACCCCACAACTGAGACCCCGCGAGCTCAGCGGTGAGGCGCTCAGGAACAATCCCCCAAGGAGCGCGAAATCCCATAGGACTTCTGACGAGCACAGACACTCGAGAAGATATTGCTGAAAGAAAATTGCTGTGCTAACGGAAACTTTTTACAATACTTGCACTAATTATCGCACGTGTGAGAGTATTATGAATCCAAGAAAGGAACTCCGAACACAATGAATAATTAGGCTACTGATGTACACACACATAATAAACGAACTAAAACAAAAAAACATCCTGTTGAAATAAAATTACATGACAAGTTCGCAGGACTAAAAGTAACAATAAACTAAAGAAGGACACCAAAGGAGGTGTGAACTTTCACTGCGTTTCGAAGTCTCTTTTTGAAGAAGAGAAGAAAAAAAAATCCTAGTAATTTCCGAGGACCGAATGAATATGAGACTAAAAATGTCAAATTACTAAAAAGGGGAGATTCAATAAAGAATTTAGGAACGCACCAAAAATAAAATTCTGCGAAAATGACGAAATAATGAACTGGGGGAAAGATTTTATACTTTAGGCAATGAAACAATCTTGGCGTCGTGTATATGGTCAAGACAAAAGAAAATTGTGTTGAAACAAACCTAGTGAAGTTTCACACAAGATGAGATAAACATTATCTAAATGAAACTTGTGTTTGCAAGGGTAGGAAAATTTTAATACTTTTGAATACTTAAAAGCACTTCGCCATCAAATTAAATTTAGCATAACAAATGGAAAGAAACTAGTAAAAATTATTGAGAGAATATATCATTCTAGTGATAATCCGTTTAAAAATGCAATGAGCACTAAATTTCAAAGCCAAGACATCGTTAGGAAAGTTCTCCCGTGAAATTGAAACGATGAAGAGAATTTAAGACGAATCATGCAAAGTGCTTTGAAGAGTAAATACCATCAACACGGAGAGAAAATTTGTCAAGTGAATCTTAAAATTAAAACTTCTTATGCGACATCGCCCACACAACGCTGCCACTACAGCGCCCCGCGTCATAGACCTTAAGCTGCTCCGGACTTCATATCCTTATGATTTGATCGTTCAACAAACAATTTCTTCATTCGAATTTTGTGCAACTGGGGGGGGGGAAGTATTTAAAGGAAAGTGTAGGTATATAGCTGCACTTGATGAAACTTGACATTTTGGTTGTTTTTCAAGAAAAACCGAAAGGTACACGATTCGACATCGGATAAAATCGCGTATAATAAAATATTTGAAAGACGTTTCTGATTACGAAAGAAGCTGAAGCTTTAACCATGCATGGATTGAGCTGAAGAAGCGCGACGAGCTGAGCGCCTCCCTCTGTGTTGTAAGAAGCGCTGCGACAGCTGAGTAGAAGACCTGAAAAAAGACCAGATGAACGTCAATGGCTGTCTACATAAATCATGCTAAAGTGACATCAACGAGAGCTATATAGAGTGAACAGGAAATTATATTGGAGCTACAGCCCCCACAGTTCACCGAGCAAGCATACTCAAAAGAAGACAAATTACATTGAAACAAACGGCAAACTAAAATAGCCGAGAACAATTCTACAATAGGAAATATACTGGCAAACAGATTGCTGATAAAAATAGAGAACAATGAATAATTAATCGATGATAAATTAATTAATTTTATTCACAGTGGACAAATAAGGATGGCCGCTGAACTGCTTGCATTTTCACTTATTCGATAAATGATCAATGGCAAATAAATGTAGAAATAAGTTTATTGATAGAAAGTATTGCGTCACAAATCTTATGCGTTAGTAATACATGCACAAAAACATAAAATTAATATGAAGCCAAGCCACGATAGTATTAGGAAGCTCATTCCGCACACGCAATGAATAAGCGATGACTACATGGACTAATAATAGTAACATGACTAGTTCGTACCGATTAGAAATCCAAAATAAAAACATCTCAAAAATTAAAAAGAGATTCAGAATATGAAAACATTATGCAACGAACGAAACAAGAAACAATAGAAGATAAAGTTCCACAATATCTTTCGTAGCAGAGAACGCGGAAACGCTCCTCATGAAGCGCAAGTCGTTAAAATAATTACTTGAAATTCAAACAAAAAGAACCCAAGATATGTAACTCGAGTTACGCTTCAAGGTTCTCTGCAAGCCTACAATGACCACAGAATTTCGCGAAACATTCTTCAATAAAAAGAGGATAAGAAAACAGGTCACGGACGGGACTCACCTACGCAGGGTGGCGCGTGTTGTGCAGTGAACATTTCCGTTAATTACAGTGAGCCTATACTAGCCAGGCTACGATAAGTGAGCCTACACGATAAGTGAGGCTATACTAGCCAGGCTACGATAAGTGAGCCTATACTAGCCAGGCTACGATAAGTGAACCTACACGATAAGTGAGGCTATACTAGCCAGGCTACGATAAGTAAGTGAGCCTATACTAGCCAGGCTACGATAAGTGAACCTACACGATAAGTGAGGCTATACTAGCCAGGCTACGATAATTAAGTGAGCCTATACTAGCCAGGCTACGATAAGTGAACCTACACGATAAGTGAGGCTATACTAGCCAGGCTACGATAAGCGAGACTATATTAGCCAGGCTACGATTAGATTAACTAGTGTGGTTCCGATTGTATGACCCAAACTCTACAATTAAAGGCATTAACATTTTTTCGAATTGTTAGAGAATTATTGCCACAAGAAACGACCCCATTCAATTATTTTTGATGTTCACTTGGAAAAATGATATATAAATTTCACTGAGAAAAACAATAGGAAATATTCAATCGAATAAAGGCAAGTAGTAATCCCAAAGATCATGAGGTGACAGCTTATGAAATGATAGGAATTGTTGCTCAAATTTGAACACACTGGATTTGAACAGATCATGTTCGGTTCCATTCTTTATCTCAACTTTACAATCCTTGACCGGCACATTTGACGTGATTTCACTATGGGTAAGCCAAGCCAAGCACAAATCCAAGAATACGACATTCGTTTATTTCACCAAACGATTTTTGATGGATCAAAAGCGCATATCCGAAATTAAATTCATGTAGCACATACAAAAGAGTAACTATGAACCTCATAGCAATCTTGGGATCGGTTGGTGGTCTAAAAGTTTCCTTTCCCCATAGATCAAACAATGTCACACAATAGAAAAATTTATAAACATTAGTGAAAGGTATTTCTACAAAAAAGTATGCTGCAAGTTAAGCTTGCATTTTTCTTCCCCCAGAGTAATGACTTCTCAAAATTGTGTCGGCTTAGTAATAAAATTTCACATACAATAACAAAATGTCGGGTTCAGTAACAAAAATAGTGTATATATAAGAATCGAATGACCAAGCAGCAATGATGGGACAAATTTGAAAGCAAATGAAATGGCCAAAATATTTTTTAACTTGCGACCACCCAAAATATGGTAACCGAACATCTTAATTGAAATTTAAACTCACACGAGCCTCGTGAATTAATTCAATATCAAGAATTGCATATACTGGGCACGATACAGAACACACTTTTATTGACAAAACCTTATTGAAACTACCAATACATATACAAATTTCCACAATTTCCGATACAATTATCATGTTCTGATGGGCACGTAGTCAAGTTTTAGTGAAAAAATATGGATTACAATGAGCAGTCACGCGGCCTAAACGTCGAGAGTACAACGTAAGAAGCATGAATAGCGTCGCTGGTGCAAGCAATTCACAGCAGATACAGCGAAATGCCGCGTTCACCGTGAGCTTGCGATTGAAGATACGAAGTAGCACCTTTATCGTAACATTCTATGCTCAAAATTCTTGTGATGCTTGCAACGGAGAGAAATTTATACGGCGAATACGTAGAGTAGCAAAGCGCTACTACCAGACTATAACTGATAACATTCTATAGGAATGGACCTTGGTATACATCAATAGAGGCGATTTAGGAACATTTACCCATTTGAGAATAAAACATAGTCGTTTAAGCTGAAGACATAATGAACATTGACTCATCGTTAGTGAGAATAACAGACGAGACGAAACCTCTTATCACTGCTAAAGATAAGTAAATCAAAGATTACTCCACGGCTATACGGTCAGATTCATCAAGCCAAAGTTCAAAGATCGTCTCACTAGCTCGATACATTCGTTCTGATTGGGGTTGATTCAGGGCTTCATATTGTTAGCATCAAAGCCGCTTAGATGATTATTAAAAAAATAAAAAATAAACGTCTACGATGCAACACTTACACGGGTTAAACATCATTCACCATGTAAACAAATATACTGGCATCATTGTTATAAAATGAATTTCTCATGAGGTCGAGTTCATAAATGTATTTAGGTACAGAAATAAATAAGGCGAATCGCACTTGATCGGATAAATTCAGAGATATGTCGAGATTCATCGTAGCTCGATCACTCCAATTTAATGTTAAAATATAAGTAAAAACTATTTGTGCATAAATTCAAATATAAGTAAAATAGAAAACGAGAAAGCGCCTAATTACGATATTAAATAATATGTCTTCAAGACAGACATATTGGATAGTACCGATCAGACGGCAAACTGCATTATGAAGCTGCAAACTAAATGTTTGTAGCCTGGCATACCCTAGATTACAGGTCTGCAACCTGCACTCGCTGCAGACTACAGGTCTTCAACCTTAATGGGCATGCTCCTGACTAAACTTGTCTGTAACCTGTAGTACTGCTGAAGATTGCAGGTCTGCAACCAGCAAAGGTCTGCAGGTCTGCAACCAGCTTTTCAGCAATCATTACATATTAACACAATAATTTGAATACAAAAAAATCTAATTTTTAACAAGAGACAATGCAGTGAAGAATCTTCAATATCGGCTGCTGAGAAGAAATAAAATGTAATTCGCATTTGGCAAATGAATGCTAATTACGCGAAATTCAAACGAGCTTGCATTATTTCCATGTCTAATAGGCCAAGCACAGGCTGGAACACTGATTATGTTTTTTGAATTTTAAATAAGACGCGACATTTTCTTAGTACTAAAACTAAATATCGCCACAGGAGATGTATATACATTTTATGAGCCAAATTCTCAAAGATAAATGAATATATAAAGTCTGAACACATGAAATTCATGTACGAGAAAGGGATTCGTACACTTTGCACAGTTACAATATACAGGGCAAACATCTTCCATGCACTGGCGAAATAATAAAACGTACGACACTTAAATGCCTATTTTTGCTTGGCAGTCCTGAACTGCTCGAGAGACGGGCGTTCACCGCACTGCATTATTATAAAATGTTCTCTAGCTCATTGTACCAACATATCATCGAAAGGCCATACTACCCGCCGACCTTACTCACGCATCTGAACAATATTACAAAAAAATTAACGGTGAACTAGGGAGAGACATCGATAACAACAAGATAACCTGTAACGGGACTACATTTAGTCACATGAACGCTATTAATCAAATGCCAATAAAATAATGCGTTAGTTCACAGATATATAAAATTGTGTTAGTAAAAATCGAAGCGAAGAGAGTTATGCCACGATTTTCAAGCCAGAACCCCGGCTGTGACCTCAGTATGCAAATCACTCGCATTGAAATCTTCAGACCGCACTTTAAATGCATACCAACTGACCGAGGGCGCCTGCCAACCGCAAGCTCATCAACATAGTAATTTACAAGAGGTTTGTAGCTAGGAGCACAAAAATAGATCACGTTACCCAGGAGGGGGAATTGTTAGATGGAAAGCAAGAACACATCCACAAAGCTATAGCAAGAGCGACCTCCATCTATTATAATAAGTTAAATAATCAATTAGAATTTGATAACAATTCATTACAATTAAGAAAGCAGTGAACGAGTGTTAGTGTTAGTAGAATACTTAAGTAGTACATATTTACCTAGAGATTTTTGAGAACCATCAGTGAACCGTGAAGAGTGTGAGACCAAGCATCGTGGGTTCTGGAAACAGTTGCAGTTCTTGCAACAGTAGTAGTAGTTCTTGCAATGTAAGTAGTTCTTGCAAAATAAGTAGTTCTTGCAACAGTAGCAGTTCTTGCAATAGAAGTAATTCTTGCAACAGTTGCAGTTCTTTTCAGCTCCAGCTCTTGGGTTAGTGAAAGTCTAAGGAATAGCCCGTGGCGACACCAAGCAGTTGAGAAAGAAGAGCTCCGTAAGAGAACAGCACCGGCACCCTATGCACTAATTCTCACCTCCAGACAGTCCTCATATCAAGTTATTATTACATAACTTGCACTCTAGTTTGAAGAATTTTTAGAACGCAATGAATTATTTTTGAATTTAGATGAAGATTTAAAAGTATTACGTTCGCGTAGTATCGCCCAAACATAAGCGTTGCAACAAAAAATTGAGTATGAGAATCTGTCCATCGAAAACAGCGAAAATGAAAAACTTCATCCATTGAAAACAGCAAAAATTTTGAATCAAGCAGCTGCTATACACATTTTTCGTAGATGAATTCAAATTTCATGCATTCGTAAAGGATGGCATGAGGCGAGCTGGCAAGACGTATGGAGGGCATCCTGAAATCTCAGAATTAAGATTCAGACGTCACAACACATGACGAGTTGATCACGCATGGCACTCGGCAAACAGAGGCTGTACAATCAAGATTAGTTACGATTTCAGACAACCACTGACGCCTTTTCAATTTAATCCCATCAATCACAGGCCAGAAATCGGCTACGTGTACCTAGGCCTCTACGAAGCATCGCTTCGTAACCCTTAACCCACACGTCGTCATGATACCTTAGTGGACATATATATGGTCTCAAATACTATTATTTCAGTAACAAATTCTCTTTGAAGCTTATTGCAAGTTGAACGAAACAATCACACGGGAAATTCAGTAGGAGCAGCAGTATGGTAATTAGGCGAGACGGAGTAGCGATACTAGCACGAGACCGTTACGTTTAATACTCGAACTGTCACTCTCACCTACACTGCTGGATAATGATCACTGTAAAAATAGAGTACAAATGGCATCTCTTCCTGAACATGTTTATAATTTAACTCTCTTTCATCCAGCACAAGCTCCGGCTTTATAAATTAACTCGTGACCGGCATAACGGCGGCTAAGAATTCAATCATTTGTTGGAAATTTTTTATGGTGTCATATGAACCATTGAACTGTATCGAAATTATTAACTGTGAAATTGAGATCTTGGAAAAGCTCAAGACAGCTTATTTAGGCAAATTAATTAATTTGAATCAAAGGCTCTTGCTGCCGAGGTACGGAACGCGAGTGCAATAAAAGTCGTCGCGATTTGGCGACTCACGAAAGTTGGATTGAAAAAGCGCACGCCGAATGAAGGCAAGACATGCGGACGAAATGATCGAGAGTTTATACAATACAAAATAGATATTGTCGTGTATCTTGGGTTAATGCTTAAAAAGTGATTTAATAAATGACTTGATTCATTATTATTATTATTCAATCATCAAACGTAGTAAATCGATGCAAGATCGAAGTCTAAGAATCTTGCTTGCTTAGTTCCCTCAATATTTTGTAAAATTATGAAAGCCATTGAAGCTTTTCTCACTCCATAATATTGATTTTGAAAATTGTTGCGCAAATTTATACGATTAATCTACTTAGTTGACAGCCGTAGCAAATTCAGATTTAAACTAAGGGACCAGATTCTACAGCAATGCGGTGGACGAGCAAATTAAGATGAGTATTGTCACGCGCACGGTCCTAACCTCCTGGAAAAAATCTGTACTGGATTATTCGTGGTTGCTTAGTGACCACGACTAAGCCTGATAGATTTCCCAAGAGGTGCACTAGAAGGCAGCGTTGTCTAGGCGGTGTCGGCAAGCAGTCAATCGATCCTGTCTTTGATCGAGAAGCACTGGATGTGGAAGTGATCGCACATCTGACGAACCTGCGGTCACCAAAAACATGTCTCGTCAATCTCTACAACCCTAAACAAATATTGCATTTGACCTCATCAATCTTTAATCACACAACATATAATCAATAATATCTTCAATCTGATGGTTAATATTTTAATTAGTAATTAGATATTCGATAGTTGACGATTCACATACAGTTCAGCAAATTTATATCTTTATCCTCGAGATAACTTAGTACCACTACAATGTGTGTATATGACGCGTAGTGACGACAGCAACACGATGGTTACTCACCACCTGGACGCCGTAATGAATATGAGCTGCAGTCGCCACAACGCTGAGTGCGACTAGGAAGAACATCTCCGTGGAGGGCAGTAGGAAGGACGCGAACATACACGCTGCCAGCAGCAGCAACTGCCAGTTCAGCAGCTCGCATCTTGAGCCCGACATTTGTGACACGATCAGCCGACACTACCGCACAAACAAAACATATGATCAGCTGAGAAAATATATTTGTGGTAGGTGGGTTCCTACCAGACATCTGGCGTTGAAATAACGTTGATTAGACATTGTTTGTTAACTCGCAACCAACGTTGTTTGAACATCATTTTCCTGGAGGGTTAAACATTATTTAGTAAGATGTAATAATCGCAAGTGGAATTTAATTAATGCAAATAATCAGGAACAATACCGACTTTCTTCTAACACTGACAATTACACAAATATTCTCGGAAAGAATATCAACATCCGCATCCATATTTATATCGGTTATAAACACATGATAATAAAGTTTCAGGAGAACTTACATTGATATTCGCAAAGATAACTCCAATGAGGTACAAGAATAGCCGAGGGTCGCGGTCGACGATGTCTGTGGGAGACTTCACAAGCCAGAGCGTGCAGATCGCGAAGAGTACAGCAGGGTTCCATAGCGGCCTAACGGCCTCCACTAAGCCTAACATTTTGCCTGTACCGTCTCTATAGCTGCAGTAGATGTTGTAGAAAGACATAGGTAGACTGGAAGCGAGGGAGCCAGCGTATAGCATGAACTCGAACATAGAGCCGCTTGGCACGCCAGGGTACAGCTCGAATTTCCATAATTGCGTGTCAAAGATACCCGTCAATATGTAGATGACGAATATGATCACCTGTGACAGCAAACGAGTTCTCAACAACTAACATTCAGCGGAATCATTATCGTAAGCCGTCCCTATATGTATGTTGTAATGAAGCAAATAGGAGAAAATAATTTTCATACGACATTCGAATAATTTTTGGAAACTAAGCAGAAATATTATTTTTAACATCAATGATCATTACCGTGTCTATTTTTTTAAGACTTATAGTTAATAGGCATGTATTAACTAAGCTTGAACAACGTTAGGTACTCTACGATCTTCGGTGTGGCAAGCATTTAGAGATTTAGAGAGCTGGCAAAACATTTAGTATATTTTCATTTGTAATGCCAACCTTGACTTATTAAGATAAAAAATTCTAATTCTTGACATCCCACCTGCGACACATCATACCCCCAGGGTAAGAATAGAACTTTGGTGAGGTATTTCTCCCAGTGTGAGGTGTAAAAGCAAATAAGTACGTTAAATAAAACGAAATAAAAACGCCACGGTGTAATGCTGAAGTCGTTTCGGCCAAAGACCGACCACAGGCAGGCGGGGATGAAGAAAGCCGTCCAGGAGTCTAGCCCGTGGTCGAAGAGTTCCCCCAGCGGACCGCTGGTGTTGGTGCGTCGCGCCTGTTTACCGTCTATGCCGTCTGGGGGACACGGCAAACATATTGGTCGTCAGTAACAAGTAAGGAGGAATAAGTAGGAAAATTAGATAAACACAAGTTAGGGCTAAAAATCGAAATTAAAATAATGGAAAATGAACAACTGGAATATAGGAGTAAAAAGTCGTATTGAAGCATGATAGGAAAATGCTTTGCGAATAATCACGATTTTAAAATAAAACGCGCAAAAACTCGCTACAAAATAACACCAAACAAGTCTCGCAACACTCCTGCATACTCGATGAAAAACCATACATTAAAATAAAATTAATTTGTATACAAATATTTATTAACATTTATACCTGTGCTTCCGGACCTGTTGTCACCAGCGAGATACAAGGCTAACGGAAATGATCATGTTTTGAGAAAAACCGACTAACATTTTTCCTTAATAAATGCTCGAATAGAACAAACCGACTGGCTCCATTTGATTGGCTGAATGTTAACCAAATACAGGGTGCGGCGCGGGAACTTACTTATTTGAATCGCGCGCCACGTGGCGGCCATTAGTCCTAGGAAGGTGGCGCCATGCGCAATATGGTGCGCGGGCTATGAAGTTTTTCGTCCACTCAGTTCAGTTGCGACCATGCAGTGGTCGAGAGAGGAGCGCGCGTTCGCATGCATGGAGGTCACCTACAAGATGTAATATTCAAGAATTAAACTTGTAAGTAAACCCAACGAAACTTTAAATGTAGCTCTTTGTAAAAAAGAAAGAATTAAAACGCTATCTTTAATACTTTTTACTTTGTGATTTTTTTAAAAGAGTAAGTTCCCACGCCGCACCCTGTAGTTACTATGAAATACAATTAATGTATAGAGTTGAATGCATAGAACGTAAGCAATATAGGTATTAGAGTCTGACCTAAGGTGTGTGCGAGGAAGTGGTTGAGGGCCATAAGGAACCATAACCACCGCGGTATGGAAGGGTAGGCATCACCGGGGGGCGCGTCACTGGCCCCGTAATAATAATAGTCATAGTACGACAACAGCACGAAGTTTGATGCTGTGAACAGGAAGCCCACGAATGTCAGCACATTGGGGGCCACTGAACGTGGACACAACTGCAACAAACGAAAACATAAACAACATTAATAGTGCCTTAACATTGGCCAGACTAAATGGTAAACCTAATGGATGAGGTAAAATAATGTAGAAGATTCATTGTAATGTTATCATTTCGCGCAGTAATGGATATAGTGAGTGCAAAACGTATCCGACACTTTATGGGAAAAGAAAACTTTAGGAAAAGAAAAACTTTATGTAATTAAAGCCTATTCATCAAAATAACATACGGTACGTAACACTATTCTAATGTAAATTTGCATAGAAAATACAAATATTATATCAAAACAACAATATCATTAAATGTTGACTTGATAATTGCAATTTTGTAAAAGTCAAGGTTTTCTTTCCACTAAGTTTTTTCTTTGTGTCGGATACTTTTTGCACCCACTGTATGTATTGAATGACGTCTATTATTTTAATCGCTATTAATAAAATGTTTTATTTGCCTTCATTACATACATTCCAAAGACAGGAGATCGGTAAGGAAGCAACAAAGGGACGTTCAAATTCAATGGTCAATTGCATGTTATCGATAACAAGTTGAGGCATCAAATTCAAAATAATAAGAGAGATCATGAAATATGCACTAATAAAAATATATTTGAATGCCATTGCCATATCTTGCTCATTGAGTTGCATGAAAATACTTCTAATATATATTTGGTTACTATCAGGACGGAATTCTGGAGTTGTACGATAGAACCAAATGTCACGCCGATGTGTAAATTGGTGTTACATTTTTATGTTGCGATGGCCGCACAACAACACGCAACTGGGGGTTGGATTGTTGTAATATACATGAACCTCATGTTGTATGTGCAAATTTCTAAATCACTATCATTACATCCTTAGATTGCTTTCAACCTTCTCAAAATATCCAAGATCTTCAACTACACAATTTTAAATTAGTGCTCGACAATTTCTATTGAAATAAAAATCTAAAAAATATTTAAAAAAATACCTAATGACACAAAATTCAACATAACTTAATTGACAAGGTACATATTTTTGCTTTTCATCATTTTAAGTTGAATTGTAATAGAAAATTCAAAAGGTACCTAAGCATTTTGATAAGTTCTACCTCTCATGCATTCAAGAGGGATATTACGAGGGACGGGATATCAAGAGGGATATTAGAGATACCAAGAGGGACAACTTACCTTGACCACAGCGTTCCAGAAAGGGTGCATAACATATTTGCTGAGGGGGCTGGTGTCCTTTGCACTGTACTGCAACAGAACAAGAGTTTACTTGCATAACTTCTATTATAACATAACAAAGGGGAGCAAAAAAGTGCATCCAAGATTTCTGGACTACAATAATGAACTTCTTGTTTATTGTTCTTAATTTACTTGTGTTTGGTTAAAACTTTTACAGTTCCACATAACTCTCATTCACAATGGACTCAACTCGATTAAGTGTTTTCTTTTGTATTTTGGAGATGCAAGTCTACAATGTTTTATTCAGTCGGTCTATACATTCTAAAACAATTACATTCTAAAACATGATTTTATGAAATTTTTACAAAATTCAAAATGACACCAGCCTACATTAAGCTCAGTAACCAGAATCCTTCACTTTTTAACTGTACTACCTGGTAAACTCGACCCAGTTCTGACTCAGTTTACCTGCTATCAAAATGCTCCATGTATTTTTTTGGAGTAAGGAACATATCAGAGCACAACAGTTATTTCTCGATTTAAAAATAAATGCTAAATTAAAATGTATTGGTATCATTTGGCTCAACATCATTCCAGTATGAGGTCAGAGTGAAACTTAAAAAATCAAAGATGTTGAGGTCAGTATACTTGTACATCAGAATAAAAGTTAACTTGTTAACTTACTAACAAAAGTCAGTATTCTTGTACATAGTCGAGCAATGGCAGACTGCCACAATGGTAGGGAAGATAATATCAGATGTATTGTTGTGGGGATCCAAGAACCAATATCAAATGTCTTTTAAACATTGAGAGATGAATTTGAGTGTATATAACTTGGGGAAAAGTTTAATTAATAGTATTTTGATATGATACAGTCAGGTCAAAGGTAATTTGCTTACATTAGTCAATAATGAAGTTATCCTTTCAAACAGATCATAGTTTCTTTAGTATGACCTGCAAATTTAAGCATTTTTTGTTGGGTTGCAGAGCCTTACGACCAACTTGTGACTTGCAACTAAATTTGCAAACTGTTTTCCATAATTTGTATAGTAGATCATCTCTAAATGTACAAACATCTTTTTTAAAAATGGAATAAGGAAATATGAGGTGGTAATGAGAAACTGGAATGGCAAAATATTGTTCTAGTAGTCCACCCAACCTTGATAGTTAGAAATTTATATTTTTGTTCCAATGATACGGTAATTAAATAATTTAAGAACTACTCATTGTTTCCTTTCTGAGCAGTAAAACTATTAATATTTTGGAAACAAATTTGTGCCGGTGCCGAATATCATCTGACTTTGAAGCTTTAAAAGTTTCACAGAAAGTTGTTTGTTTTTAGCTCTACCTAAACATTTTTCAGTACAACGCAGGCCTCTCTTGTGCCCTGAATAGTTCATACCTCGTCATGCTCATCAAAAGGACAATAGAGATGAGCATGTAATCCAATAAAGACGATAATCTTATCATTCTGGTCCACACAAGAAGTAATGAGATGTTACAGACACTGCCCAGGGCTAACTGTATGCTAGTTGTTAATTTTGTGTCAAATTATTGGATTAATAGCAATCATTAATAGTACCAATAATGAATACATTATATGTATACATTTAATTATGAAACAAAACTTGCAAGAAATCTTTATGTAACATTAATAATTATTTTGGCAGGAAAATTTTAAAGGAAAATTCTAACTTTCAGCTGTTCTAAATAGGGGTCAGTATTTTCAGGAAAAATTATATTGCCACCAAGACAAGCAGCAGCACACATACAATTTAGCTTCTTTCAGAATTATAACAAGAGCTTCCCTGCCATTTTCAAAGCTACAAAATTCCCACTTGACCAATCTAGTGTTTACTATGTTAGGCACAACTTTCTATAATTACAGATAAAAGCAGCTCTTATACAGCCTAACAGCCAGGCATGGAATATATCTATTGGCAAGCAATGACTGAATTTTTCAATTTTTCAAGCCATGATTTTATTGATTTGCCAGCATGACTCCATTTCTTCAAGCCATGATTCCATTTATGCGAGCCGTGAATTCCATATCTCAGTCATGAAAAGCCATTTACGAGCCAAAAATTCATTTACACAGTCCGTGCATGTTACCCCAAATCCTAATTTTACCCTAAAACATTCAAATGTTGACAACAATAACATTTGTCTTTACTGTAAGCTGAACACATATTGATGCAGTCTGACTTCTCTGAAGTGACTGCAACTATGCGTGGTCTTCAACAAAACGATTAGGTTGACTCATTATCATTACAATTATTACATTCTTTAAGATATTTTGGTGGGAACGGTATAGCATTGCAGATTGGGGAAGTTGAAAATTTTATGAAAGGACATGTTTATGAAGTGCAAACCGCAATTTTTCAATCAAACCCACAACTGAATTTTTCAAGCCGTGATTTTATGGATTTGCCAGCCATGATTCCATTTCTTTGAGCTGTGATTCCATTTTTTGAGCCATGAATTCCATACCTCGGCCATGAAAAGCCATTTATGAGGTGTGAATTTATTTGACAAGGTCCATGCGCATGTTACCCCAAATCTCTAATTTTAACCTAAAACAGTCAAATGGCAACAATAACATTTGTCTTTACTGTAAGCTGAACACATGTTAATGCAGTATGACATGACCGCAACTATGTGCAATCTTCAACAAAACATTTAGGTTGACTTGTTTACATTACAATGATTTTGTTCTGCGGGATATTTTGGCATGGACGGTAAAGTAAATATGGATTGCGGATGTGGAAATTTCTATGAAATGAGACGTTTGTGAAGGCCAATTTGAGCCATGAGATTTCATACCTACTGAAATTATATGATATTAGAGCCACAATATTTCAGAAAAAAATAGGCCTTCTCCAGCCCTGGTCTGGACCAATCAGTGAGACAGAGACCTGCATTCTTTCATTATGATTGCAGGTATATCATTTTTCTTTCCCAAATGATCTCTGCAGTGTGTGTCATTTTGAGCAGTAAACACTGCTTTGTAGCATGAGATGTTATTATTTCATTTACAATTCAAGTTTATCTCATTGTCTTCAATTATTTTTGATGAACTGATGCATCTCATGATCTCGTCAGTCTAATTAAAAATTTCAAACACTTCTTTGAACTTTCAAGCAATTACGTAGGGTAAATACACCATATTCTAACATTTTAAGGACGTAGCAAGAAATGAATGGCAATAAAAAGATCACCGTATGCGCAACTCAAGTTCTGATTGGTTTACGTCGCTCTCAAAACACCACACTACGCGCCAGCAATGATGAAACGTCACAAACTGTTGCCATATTTATTTAAAAGCCTTTAGAATTCATATCTACAAAATCACTGAAAATCACTGTGTGACTAAATTTGGCACATTGTGAGACTAATTCCGACAACGCTTCAAAACCATAATTCGGAATTCCAACGCCCTGTGTTGGAATTTGGACACCCTGCTTCTGCGTGAGCTGTACCGGAATACGGCACAGCTCGGAATGAGCTGTGTGTGTCTAATTCCGAGCTGTATCAGAATTAGTTTTTATGTGTCTAAAACTGTCTCTTAACTTAATCATCTATTAATTTATTTACCACTTAAAAACAGCAAATGCAAGTATACTCAAAGGATTCCTAATACATTCACAGACTTATTTAAAAGTCTCAAACTACAATATTCTTTCTGCACAAACAGTTTATCACTATTTAGTAAAGCAAGGTCAACTATCAACTTTGACACCTTTTTCGATGTTCTCACTGGGTGACGTGGACTTTTGCTCTGAGGATCTTAACATTTTCCCGCCAGACCTAGTGTTTTGCAGATATCTGGCGCGCAATAGTATGACGTTACTATTTCAACCATCTGATCTACGCATGCGTGGAACATCAGGGTGGAATTCTAGAAATGGAGGTTCACTTATAAAAAAGCTTTCCACCCAAGGTGGAATGCTTTCCTTAGATACAGTGACATTGCCAGGTGACTGTCAAAAGTGGACAAACTGTTTCAGTTGTACCGTAAAATGGGGTAACTTAGACCACTTTTTTCTTTATAAATGATGCCATTTTTTACTTGCTAAATTAAAGTTGAATTGAAACATGCAAAATACAGGTCTATACCCTAGCTTCACTCACCATAAATTGCTGGCTCCTGCCTCTCATAGTCTTTACGTAATTTCAAAAAAAGTGATGGTCTTTGTTACCCCAGCTCTTGGGGTAACTTAGACCGGGTGGTAAAATCAATTATATTTTTTGTTAAAATAACTCCAAATAACTCCAGGTTATGGTGCATTGTAGTAGAACTCTTCTAGTTACATATGCAAATGACAAACTTGAGGAAAGTGTCATAGTTTGCAAATGGGGGGCACCACCCCATAATGAGGGAAATGTGACTACCTAATGGCAGACCTGATGGGGTAATATTGACTGGCTTGGAAATTAAGTTAAAATTACCATATATAAGACTCTGTAGAGTCTGAAACACAAAGAAAAAACATAAATAGGCTGTCAGACATAAAATATGTTATATATGGTGTAGTACATATACCATATTTGGGGGCGGGGCTTATGGGCACAACCAATCACAGCTGGAAAGCATCCCCATCAACCAATCACAGCTTGAAAGCATCCCCAGCAACCAATCACAGCTGGAAAGCATCCCCATCAACCAATCACAGCTTGAAAGCATCTCCAGCAACCAATTACAGCTAGAAAGCAGATAACATTACAACTCCATTAACCAATCACAGCTGGAAAGCTGGAAGGGGCTAAAATCACAATCCCATAAACCAATCACAGTTGAAAAGTGATAGGATATGTATAGTGTATATAATAAAATGGACTGGAAGTGGAAAGTTCCTGGACTTTCCAACCTTTCAGGTCCTGCTTTCCAATATGCTATGTGTACTGGTTAATTTAATATCCCTCTAGAATTCCACACTGGTGGAACTAAGACAAAGTTAAATATAAAGGAAAAAGTTGAGAAATATCAGAATTACCCACGATGTTGGAATATGGTGCGTTTACCCTACCTGCGGACTGCGGTACCTCCATGCTCCAGTTGTAGGTATGGCATTGAAGATTTGAAGGAGTGAGACTGTGAGTATGACTTCTTTTCAAATTATTTAACACAGTGTAACAGTCTCAATTTTTGAAACTTTTTGGATCAAATAGGCCTACAAGTCTAGCCTAAGTGGATTAAAGTAAGAAATGAGCCAACATTTTCAAATTCAATCTTGCAAGTACTACTTACTATAAACTTAGTAGTATCTTATTTAGAGGTAGATACCTACTCGATAGCGGATAGCTCCTAGTCTCCTACCCAATTTTCCAGTTTGACTGCTAGTGCTAGGCTGCTAGCCTAAATGAATTTTTTAATCTTTTTGCTGGCATTAGTCTTAGATTTAATCAACATACTAGGATTTCATTTCATCAGAATCCATATACAAAAATTCAAACTTTGAAAAGAAATTTGGCAATTATGAGACAAACGAATCGCCCTATGTGTGATTCACACTCGGTCCGCTCGGACAATGTGATTTTACAAGTAGCTACAAGCCAGCCTGCCAGGCAAGCCTACAACTACATCTACAAGCTTGAACAAGCATGGCATGCATGGGATGGGCCAAATGGCAAATCTAATAGGCTTAGCCTATTGGCAATAGCCTACTATGGACAGTTTTTGGTAATTATCTCACCTTATAATTTTCAAATCCAATAAGATGTTCCTGGGAGAGGTATTGCATTGTAAATACATTATCAACCAAATTACTCATTTTGAATAGGGATTACTTCTAAACCTACAAATGCTAAAAAAAATTTCGATCACCAATCACCATTCAAGAAGTCCGGACACACGACATGTACAACCAGTCTCGGACACTCTTAAAACTACACTAACTGATACCTGATGGATTTTTTTTGCCGGATCTTTAGCACGTGTTTATTGAAGGTTGAATATGATGAAAACGTTCATGATGCAAGGAAACAATTATTTAACTGCGTTATTAAAAGAAAAAATAGAAAGTTCTGTTTCATTTATGTTTTCAGTTTTGCTATCATTATTCTTTAGTGGGCCCGTATGATTTCCATCCAAAAAATTTATTTGAGAATAGATCAATTGATATAAGTTTGGCAGCTTCCAAAAATATTATTCTATCTGAACATTGGCCGAACCCACTTCCATTTCGATAGGTACGATGAATCATTTTCGTTCCCTCTATCTGCCTGTAGCAATCAGATTACAGCGTAACAATGAGGCATTGAGGGAAGCATGGTCATTTAGATATATCTCCACAGCAGTTGTACTGCGCAACAGCACATTTATAGCCGTGTCCATTGTAAAGTCTCGGGAAAATGATCAACTAACGGGATGAGGTCAACGGCAACTTTATTCATGGTTCATTAACTCGAGTAGAGTCCCACTAAGACAGGTACCCTGTTCAGATGAGACAACGTGCCAAAAACAGCCCTGAGTAATATTTCAATTACTATGTCAAATCACTAGGAAGTGAAAAAAACGATGCCAACCTTGAGCCACGAATTCAACAATTAAGAATTGTGGTTTCAAATGACGTTCGAAAAAAAAAACAGAAGTTGGAACACCAATAATTAGTCAAAATAAATTACACTAAAGCCTTCGGTATAACTTTCTTAAAGGTGAATAGGACAGAAATAAAAGCAAGCATTTATAATGGAAAATGACGAGCTGGCTTGAAGGTAAACACGTATAATTTATTATCATCCGTAATCACATTTTAGACGAGGAACATAATGATGAAGCGTACTGTGCTCCGTTGCTGAGCTAAACATAACTTAAACTAAAACTCTACGAAAACGTCGTCAAAAGCAACGGTATTCAAGTTACTACACTGCTATGTGTTGGAAATAATTAACTTACAGGTAAACTCGAGGAACTAAGTTGAATCAGTGGGTTAAATTATCTATGTCATGTGCGAAATGACGCGATATTAATGACAATTAATAAAGAAACCCAGCACAAAACTAACGCAATACAAACACTGAAAATGGATAACTCTTATAGAAATAAGAGATACACAATGCAAATATACTGATTATGACGTTCCGTGAACACTAACAAAATATTTAAGTGACAATAATAGCTGTCGCTTCAGCAGTAACAAAATAATAAACAAAATTAACGCGAGGAGGCAAACTAAAATGAACGCATTGGATGTTCTTTTTCTTCGTTTGATTATTTGAGCGGTTTACAAAGTCATCTATAGATCTTAAAATGGACTTCATGCATGTAATTTCGGATAGAAAGAGACATTCGATTGAGCAAGCATTATTAAAATTATTAATATTAATACTGTTCACATAACATTCTGGAATGATTCTAAATATCACGAATGCCTCAAAAGAGAATTAAATAAAGTTTGTGACAGAAGGCAGCAATAGACGGAGATTATGCAAGCATTGCGACTTCTTTTCAGTAATGGTGACAAGATTTTGTAAATAGTAAAAAAATTACCGGGGAAGAATCAGTCATTATGACCTTAATTTATAACAAAAGTTGAATGCTTGAAACGCAGCGAACAGTATTCCGTGAGAATATGAGCTCTGCAACTAATAATTCAACAATAAAATAATGAATAAAAACTCAAAGGTTCAAACAAATCGTCAGCAACAGCGGGAACAAACTAAGTGTCGTCACTGCGGCGACGGTCAAAGTCAATCAACACGACTGAAGAGTTCAGCAATGACGAACAACTAATCATATATATTCGAAGAGTTCAGCAATGACGAACAACTAATCATATATATTCGAAGAGTTCAGCAAAGATCATTCAATAACTAATCAAATACAATCACGTAGTTCAAAAATGACAGAAGTGCTCACAAGCAACCAAGTTCAGCAATGATGAACAACTGATCATTTCTCACATTAAAATTTGCTGAGTTTTTAATATAGAACGCACAAATTCGAAGGCATAAGAAAACAGTTGCCGTAAGCAAACAGACTTAGAAGGTAGAAAACGCACAAAAATTCCAAAACGTATTACCTAATACAAGCTACTTGCACCCGTAAGCTTTTAAGCAAAAGAAAATAACCACAAAGACAATACAAAATGATTTATCCCTCAGTTGCTCGTTCAAGTTATACGTGACAAATCTAGCGAAAGAAATGATTTTGCTCATCTTCCAGATTGCATAATTATTTAGGAGGTTGTTAGATAGTGCTAGGGCAAGAAGATCCACAGCACATTACAGGAATGTTTGAGGAAACAACCAGTATCATAGAACAGCAATAAGTTGTTCTAGAACTAAAAGATAACAGTCATCATAGAACACAATCACTGACTTTGCTTCAACTTTAGTCTACAGCCTCGCGATTAAAACTATTTATACCGAGGACGACAAGACTAGCATTGATGTTAGGTAGTAGGTAAGGCTTCACGCACACCTCGAGAAGAGTGCGATGCCCTGCACTAAACAATATTTTATAATACTTATCTGGAATTTACTTTATTGAGGCAAGATGTTTAAAACAAGATGTTCGAAAATCAAGTTTTGGCTGGATATTTTGCTAACTCAGCAACGTTGAGATCCTCTGCAGATTCAGCCATTCAGTTTGATTATAGTAAGGAACCATGATTGAATATAATCGGGGAAACAAACCTCTTGACCACGAAAGTACACGTAAATACAAAAATCACAATCGATAATTTGGCTTGCTGGAATTTTACTTTTAGAATTTGATGGATGAATGGAGTATGGCTTTGAAATTATACATACGTGAAATAATGCCATAGTTTGAATTCGTTGGACTCAGCAAGGAAACGAGCAACGAGCAAAGACAGCCTCACAAGCAAAGCCATTCAAACATAACCTTCCTGCTCTTTGGTAACCTCTCCAGTTATATACAAGCAAATACCTTCACTGTAACTGGCTAATCTTAACATACCCTCAACCACAATGCGGGGCACAGCTGAGTTTACCATTCATTTTTTGACTATAAATAATTTATGATTTCTAAGCATCAAATAAGATTTTGGAACGCAGGCAGACATACACAAGCACAGGTTGATTGATCTAGAGCAGCACTTGAACATTGCAACAAGAACGGGTGGCAGATAAACACGTTTACTAAGTACCAGACGTGCAGAAAGTCATTTCGAACAGTCATGGGTAGTTCGTCTTAATAAAGTCTAAACAACTCGTCAATACTCATCGCATACAAATATTGATTCAAAAAAAATCTCAAAATTTAGACAATTGCAGCAGAAAAAGCGCACACCATTCAATCTACGTTCTTACGCATGTAAACAACAGGGTTTTCAAACCCTGATCTATATTGCACTAAAACGACTAAGTTAACTACTATAAATTGTATCATTTCCGTGTACCACACCTTAATATGAACACTGCTTTCAAACTCAAATGAAGCGCAACGAAACAAAAATGAAGCAACACTCCGACATGGGCGTTAATAAGTAACAAGACACAACGATCGTCTAATGTTCTAAGTAACTCTTGGAAGCATAGATGTGCTGATGTCTAAGGCCTGGACTCGATTAACTACTTCATTGCTAGGAAGATTTCATCCTAGTACAAGCAGAACAGTTTTCAGTAGCCCGTATCAGTGCTACAAAGGCCTGGGCATTTCGGTCGGCTACACGCGCCGAGTGAGAAATGCACGATCAGGTATACGAGAGTTAAAGGCCGTTAAGAAAGTTCGACTGTACCAGAAATATAACACTCTAGATCACACCTGAGAAAAATAGACCAAGACGAAAAAATATTATGTCTTTCTGAGTATACACAAACAAACTGAGCTGAGCAGTCAAAATACTTTACATTTGTGAGGTACATTCTACACAAACAACGAGATGTTGCAGCGAAAATACCGAGTTTCCTACGACAAATATTTGCGCATTTTAAAGGTTGGGAAGAAGGGTTCGAATTTGCTTACAAGGACCAGTGAGTTAACTTGAGACGTTTTAACTTTCAATTCTAAAAAAAACAAGGGTGCTGGAAAATAACGGTACATGGATTTTCTACAAACACCGTAGATACCCAATGCCGGGAAAGAAAAACCCGCTCAAATTTAGCAATAAACACCCTCTTTAAAAAATGATAATTTTCAGCCTCGAATGCAGTCTTCATTCGCAGTAATCAGTAATCAGATCAAAATGAAATCAGCTAAACTCTGTAAGTTGTCAGGGTTGTAAGAATTCAATAAACTTTAGCGAACTTTGAAGGGGATTAGGAGTTTTGTTCGTGCCAGAATTTCTTCACATGAATATGATCAAAGGCCGCGATGTTCAGACGCGTTGGAGGAAGTTTAGTCAGCTTTGGGGATGAGTTCGTTGAACTGCGGCTGGAGAAGCTCTTCCACCACCGCCGACACCAGCAGTTCTAACTCGGCTTCCAGTGCAGCCCAGTCACTGCGAGAGAACAATGATAATGAATGACTCTTTTTATATGTTACGTAGCCACAGCTACAACTGCGGGGAGGTCGTGAACAAGTCTAAAGAAATATTCAATATGTGAGCTGTATTGTAGAATTAATTATTGATTTAATGTAGAGGAATAATTGTCAATAGCTAGCTCAGTCACTAAACTCCGTTGTGAAACATACATTCACAATATCAAGTCTAAAATGGGGGGGGGGCAATATCAAGACTTGTTCAATGTCAAGATTGATGGGGCAATATCGAAACTTGATATTGCTCCATCAATGAGGCAATATCAAGTCAAAACCTGTGTACATTGCAACCAAATCCTAATGTATATGTTATTTAGCAAATAAAGATTAATATATTTTACCACTCAACCGAAAGTTAACTGGTCCTGGTGCAAATTCAAGCAGAAAGTTAATACTACAATTATAAGGTCTAGAATGACATGAGCACTGATAAACCAATTAAAAGTGTTTACCTTTGTTCAGGCTTGGCGCAGATCTCGGAATAATACTTGATCTTTGGCTCAGTGCCACTAGTGCGCAGCGTGACGACGCAGCCGTTGCTGAAGCTGAAGGTGATCATCTGCGACGAGGAGCTCGAGGGCAGCATGGCACGCCCGTCCGCCTGGCTGGAGTCGTAGCCCGTGGTCAGGTCCCGCACTGCAGATACCGCGAACTTCCCTCCACACACTGACTCCGGATACTGCAATAACAATTCCATGTTAAGGTTTTGCGTAATATAGTGAACTATATTCACTGAGAATGTCAGGGAAGGATGTTACCGCTGCCTTGACTGCAAATACCGTGAACTTTCCCTACTCGGGGAAATGCAATCGCTATCTAATGCCGTGATGGGTGAAATATTGTTAAAAAATTTGACTGGAAACAAGGTGCGATTACATGTAATGATTGGGCAAAATGTCGTTAAATATCTTCACTGAGAAGTTGAGAAAAAGAATATACATAATCGCTGCCCGGACTGCGTGAAATTCATAAATATTAACATCTCAGCACTATGAATGTCTCAGAATGAGGATTAAGAGTAAAATTTTTCAATTGTTCAAAATTGATCAGTAATTTGTTTGCATTCAATTAAGAATGAATGACATAAGTATGAGGAATGTACTTATGAACGTGAGCGTCGTAACTCGTGCGACAAGTGCAAATGTGTTAGAACATGAGGAAGAAGGCGGAGTAAACCAGTAAGTTGGGACCGATTTCTTACACCAAAAATTTATCTGATGAGTCAGAATGGTTTACACATCTAAGTAAAAATTGTTCTTATGTGTAAAAGGAGAGGGGCTGGACGGGTTACAGAAGGGAGACAGGATGGGCAACAGGAGGGAGACAGGATGGGCAACAGGAGGGAGACAGGATGGGCAACAGGAGGGAGACAGGATGGGCAACAGGAGGGAGACAGGATGGGCAACAGGATGGGCACAAACCGTCTTGGGGCCTGAGAAGTTCCTGATGCGCTCAAAGATTGCCTTAATTTTGAGTGCATCGTGGCAAATGAAGTACGAGTTGCGACTGGCGTGGTAGCCGTACCTGGTGGCGAAAACAAAATAGACTTCTAAATCATAAACTTCAATCAACGGTCCCTTGATAACTTAGCTTAAATTTCCTCCAATACTTCTTAAATTGATGAACAACAACAACTTCTGAATGACAAACGTCTAACTAATGAGAAATTGAGCAGTAATTTTTGGCGCTGCCTGAGGAAAACACACTAAATTGCCCAAAGAGACTTTTAAGTTAGTAAAATTACGTTCACATACACAAAAAATGCCGAAGACCTTTTCTAATTGGTAAATTCATGAAGTTTTTTGTCAACGTTTAGAATAAAAATCAAATGCATCAATCAACGGTTTTCCCGGGGACATCAATCATCAGTTGATCCACAAGAATGACAATTTCAAGATATTCCTATAGCTCCTAATTTCCGGTAACACTGAGCAGCTAATAAAAACGTTCAAAGGCCAGCCATAATCGAAGGCTAAGAAGCCAACATTTGTCTAATTTTCATTTCCATGTCCCACAAAAGAAGCAAACCAGAATTAAGACGCTTAGATCTTAATAGAAAATAATAAGCATTGTAGTGTGAAATTAAGGAGTGACTGACATTTGGTAGATGATCTGCAGCTGCTGGAGGAGCGTGAGGCCCTTCGTGTGCAGGTGCGAAGCAAGCTCTGCCATATACACGCCCGCCGACACGCCATCTTTGTCAAGCACCTGCTCGTTAAGACAGTTATTGTAACATAGGTACTAAGATTATAGTTCTATTTAATAATGATCATTGTAATTCAACAACGCGTAGTGAGGAGAATATTTATAAACTTCGCTCCATTACTAAACTCACAGAGCCGTAGCATCAAAAATAAACAAAACCTATTTGAGTCAAATCCAGACCATTCATATCTAGGCATTTCCAGGGTGAAACAGAATGATTGACCGAAGAGAATATATTACATTCATATGAAACCTGCAAATTATTTTAGAAGCTTCTTATAACCGTTAAGCTTCAAGAGAAGCGTTTAATTCTGAAGGGTTAAGAAGGAGCGTTAGCTACACAAGCATAACAATAACGAGCTTCACCCCAACGCCGTCTATGACGCTAGCACCACGAGCATAACAATAACGAGCTTCACCCCAACACCGTCTATGACGTTAGCACCACGAGCATAACAATAACGAGCTTCACCCCAACACCTACCGTCATGACGTAAGCACCACGAGCATAACAATAACGAGCTTCACCCCAACACCGTCATGACGTAAGCACCACGAGCATAACAATAACCAGCTCCACCCAGGACTCAGCTCATGAGTTTTACCTCAACGCCGGCCATGAAGCCTATGGCCTCCTCGAAGGCAAAGAGGACGGTCTTGTTCTCGCTGAGCAGCTTGACAGCTTCGTTGCCCATCCACTTGAAGCCCGTCAGTGTTTCCTGACAGCATTTAACGCGGTCAATCATCCGACTAAATTATTCATGGACTATAATCAAACAAACTCGTACGTCCAACGATGGTCCAAATGAATATGTGAGTTAGGATTTATCCAAACGAGAAAATTATAAGACTCATTGGAGTAGGTATAATGTATAAATAATATCATTTACCTCTAGATTGTGGAATCTTCATGGAGGAATCCATCATATTTTTATGTAGAATAGAAAATAAAACCAAATTCAAAAGACTTAACACTTTTTGAACTGGAATCGATGATGTCTAACCACTTAAAGTTGATAATACTGTACAGGTGATAATAATTAAATCAAGTAACAATGCAACATACAATGAAGTTGAATCCTTCCTTGTTGGCGATGGCGCGCAGGATTTTCGAGGAAACTGTGGAGGCGATCATGTAGACGTCCTCAGGAGGCGTGTGGGGACTGCGCTGCTTGTGGCGCTGCCACGTCCACCAGCCCAGCAGCGCACCTTCTTCGTTGCCAGTAAACACTTTCCAAGCGCTGCACACACAACGCAAGTCTTCACAGTTGTAGATATTTAAAACATGAATCCTGGAATATTTTTTACATTTCGAAATTTTTCCACACTTAACAAATGGCTTAATGAAGACCTAAATTAAGAGATCAAAACATAAAAACGTTCAACAGCAATAAGAAATAACTTGAATATGCGGGCACAGAAGTAGTAATGCAAACAGTGCACAGTGCACAGGCCCCGGACCTCTGGCCCCATAAGCGAGACTCGCACCATTACATCCTTCAATTCATTTATCCACAACGTTTTTTAGCTATAAAACAAAGTTTTGAAAACAAAGGCACAAAATTCAAACGGCGCACAGGATCCGTTTTTGCTTGTCCATGCGACGGGACCTCTGGCACTATAAGCAAGACCCCGACCGCTACAGCAAAGAGGTCATAAACACAAAACATTTATTAGACTTAAAATAAAGCTTGGAACATGAGGGTACAGAAATGCATGCTGACCCGTCCTGTTTGGTGGCGAGAGCGAGCCTGTCAGCGTCGGGGTCGTTGGCGAGAATGATGGACGAGTCTGCAGCGTCGGCGGCGCGGAAGGAGAGGTCGAGGGCACTCTTGCCCTCCTCGGGGTTCGGGAAACGCACCGTGGGGAAGTCGGGGTCAGGCTCCATCTGCTCCACGACTGGCACGAAATCCTGCATAAAGAGTTAGCTTTGTGACGGTTATATAGAATCGAGCTCGGTTCAACGAATATTTTGACTAATTTATGATAAAAACAATCTCATATAGGTGTATATTTTTTTTAACCAAAAGGCCACTATCAGCAGAACGCGCATCGAAGAATATTGGTTCCACTTTATTGCAGGGCTCATTTCCTTATGAATCATATTTTTAGCACAAAGACCAGTAGCAGAGCTAGGCTGGAAGAATATTTGACAAAAAAAAAATGGTCATGCACATCACATAAATTTTATTTGACTGATTTTAAGGCAACCATCAGCAGAGCTCTACTAAAAGAATATTTGGCAAAGTTACAGTGATGCACATTTCCCCAAAGATATTTTTTTAGTGCTGAGGCTACCAGCAGATTCTAAGCACTGTCTATATTTTATTTTAATTTGCCAATCAAATTATTCAATAAATAATGTACGTAAAGCAACAGAATTATTGCAAACTACAGCATGGATGACACAACTTTGTTGGAGGGCCTGTATAAATGTTGTGCTTACAGTGCCAAGGACCATATTTTGGGAGAGTGAACCTAAAAACTAGACACGGAAACTAAAGGACACCTGTAAACAAAACTACATTCCTTAAAGTTCCATTGAATTCTTTAAAATAGTTGCAATGAGATAAGGAGCAAAATCACACCTTGAAGCCACACGCCTTGAAGGCCTCTTTCATGTAGCGATGCCCCACGCCGTGCATGGCAGTGACAGTGAAGCGCAGGGGCGTGGTGCCGTTGAGGGCGACGTCAAGCATGGAGGAGGCCAGGGCTTGGTAGTATAGGGGCGCCATGCGGTCCAAGGGGTCGGACAGACGCTCATGTTGCTCGGCTGCTTGCGTGTCCCATACGCCGGGCCATGGCTGCAGGTGCTGCTCGATGCTCTCCTGAATCCCGGAGTCGTGGGGCGGGATAATCTGTAGAGAAATTACCGAGCGAGTGAAATTATAATTTATTATTGCAGGGTTCGAATTTATGAATGCGTTTCTGCAAGCACTAGGCATCACGAAATCAAGAAAGAACATTCATTGCTTGTTTACACATTGATTGAATAATAAACTCACGCGCACAAAGAGTGGAGCACAAAAAATACCAATACAAATTAATGGTTCACACATAGATTTGACTCGAGACATAGCTAAGACAAGCCAATATCAAAAAACAACACAATGTCACTAACATGGTAAAGCTTCGTGATATGAACGTCGTGAGCGACTTACTTGAGCGCTGTTACTCCAGTAGACTTTGTAGCCATTGTCCTCCTTAGGGTTGTGTGAGGCTGTGACCATGACTCCAGCAGCAGCACCCAGCTGCTTCACGGTGAAGGGAACAAAAGGCGTGGGGCAAATGTCGCCCAAGAGGTACACATTCACGCCCCCCAGTAGGAAAGCTGAGGCAGCCAGCCTTGCAAACCTGGAACACCAATTAAATTCTTCAGGTTGCCTTTGGTAATGCAAAAGTAAATGTATAGCTTATAATGATAATTGACAATAAATCGTTCAATTTGTTCAAGTACAAACACAAATAATAATGATAATATAGTGAGAAAAGTCTTCTGAAAAGGTATGTATATAACTGTTCTAACTGTTTTGGCCAAGACAATACTTAAATCAAGCAGGGCTAAGAAATTTGTGCCTGAATAGATAAATTAAAATATCTTACTGCATTTGTAAAGTGCATACTTAAAACAGCAACATATATAAGGAACAACATAGAAAGAAATAATTTCATATGATTTCTGTTAAATATATTGACAAATAACTATGCAAATGATGCTTATTTTGCAGGGCTGAAACATCAAAACAGTGTATTAGTCTGGACATAACAACAGTGACTAATTTCAGAGCTTTCTGCAGCAACTGAAATGAGATGAATTGAGCCTTTCATATGGTAGGTACCAAATCTTTTAACAAATCCCATAGACTAGACACTAGATTATGCCTGGCAACAAATCTTGATGGCTGGTACAAACCTGTGGCTGTTGTGGCGACTGTCGTGCCCGATAACGATGCCACGCTTGGCAGCATCAGGCTCAACCTCCAACAAGTACTTCACCAGACCCTGAAAACGCATTTACATTCAAAGCAAATGAATGATTTATTAATCATTTAATATGTCAGAACAATATACTGACATGATATATTATTCATCATTTTAAATGTGGAGCAGCAACCTTTCTATATTAAAGATTGAGACACCTTGACAATACAAAATCACATTCCAAAAAGAAGGCTCCTATGCTGTGTCCTGCATTGAGGAGTATACTATGCTTTATTGGGACAATGGTTCATTGAAAGGATGGCTAAAAAAGTGAAGTGAATATAGCAATATAATTTTAATTAAATGCAACATGAATTTAGTAAAAGTTAAGATGCATAAAAAAACTAAGATATGTAATAAGAAGCATAAGAAATTTGTTAATTATTGTTAAAGGCAAAACACAATGTTGATAAAATTGATAAGAGCACTTAGCAATAATGAAAAAAAGTGGGAAATTTCTGATCTTGAATAAAATCATTACCATACTGACCAATTGATCTTATTTAAACATTGCCAGGTTATTAACAGAAGATAATGGAAGCCCACCTGGGAAAGCCTACCTGGACACAATGTTTATTTTTCATTAAAATTGATGAGAGCACTAAGCAATAATGAAAAAAAGTGGCGAATTTCTGATTTTGAAAAATATCATTACCATCCATACTGACCAATTGATCTTATTTAAAAACATAGCAAGGTCCTTACCAGAAGTTAACAGCTGCTGGTGTAAAGAAGAAGCTTACCTGGGACGTTTGTATGATGACCAGATCATTGAGTTGAGAGTAGCCTGCTCCCATCCTGGCCCTGAGGCCTGCAGTTCCAAAGACAAGGCGGCTCAGCAGGAGCCCCTCCAGGACCTTGTGCTTCTTTTGGGCCACAAGTTCTTCCACCTCCTGCCGGGTGCTGGAGTTCTGGGAGCCACGAACATCATCAATATTATGCATCATCTAGAACTCAAACCTTATAAACTTCATCTGTAACCCATTATGTAAATTGAGTAAGTAAATAATGTAATAATGACTTCCATTATAAGTAGTCACCTAAAAGAAAATATAAAAACAATTGAACAAAAGTAATTTGGATATTAGGCACAAATGAAACACAAATTTTACTTCAATAATAATAATGAGATCTAACCTCACAGTGTAGACTAAAATAAGTACAAAGAGTACTATGAAGAAATACTAATAAAATCAAAATAGATAATTAATTACTTCTAGATTATTTCTCAACATAGAGAATGAAAATTCACTTCACTTGCCTGATCCCATTGCAACCATTCTTCCACTTTGCTCCTGATGTTTGATGGCAGTCCTTCCATTTTAATTTGTATCCTAGGATTAAAAAATTTTAAAGCTTCCCTTCAAATGCAGAATTTTGAAAAATGAATACAATCTGATGAGAAATAATTATACATAATGTATACTATATATATATTAGTTTTGGATGGCAGAATTAGTTTATTTATACGCGAGCAATTAACGACCAGAGAGTTCGTTGATTTAAATTATCAAAGAGTCGGACAATTCTTCAGATGACATTGGTAGATCAAAAGGCATATATCGGGAAGTAGTTTTAGTTTATTAACGACGTTTCGAATGTAACGAACATTCATTTTCAAGTTACAAAGAGCATTAAATATTGACATTTTGGTGGAAATAAGTACATGATATACGTAAATAGGATACTACAGTAAAATGGCTCCCTGACACCCTTAACAACAACTCCCACTGTGCTGGAGAAACACACCAGCATCTTCATCGTGCAGTGGCCCAACATATTCGACCGATGATAGCTGAAGCCCTCATCTCTACGGATTGGACTCCAGCTACTCGTCTCATAACTACCGGATTTTCTGAACTTTGAGATTGTTTCGGAATTATTTTTACGGTTTCAAATTTTCGTGTTGTATCATATTTACGTGTATCATGTACTTATTTCCGCCTAAATTTCAGTATTCAATGCTTCCTATAACTTGAAAATGAATGATGTCACATTCGAAACATCGTTAATAAATTAATTTACTTCCTTGAACCTGAATTTTTATCAACCAACGTCAGCTGAAGAATATTGTTTGATCCTGAAAATTTAAATCGATGATTTCTCTGGTCATTAACCACTCGTGTTTAAACAATATATATATGTATATATATATACACACACAATTATATTAATCACCAAGGAATATTTTTCAGCTTCACTCATAAAGCACCAAAATACTTTGAAAAAAAAATGAAAACATTTTGAGGATATTGTTAACTGTCAATCATCATATTTTTTAAATTAGAAGGCCTTTCTAGGTGATTTGAAGAGCTTTGCAGAAATTCATTTCAGAATATTGTTTGATACTTTTATAACAACAAGAAGACTATTTAAATGATCTGAAACAGTCAAGTTTGATTAACAATCAATTGATCAACATCATCTTGATGGGTATCTACCACCTATTTAAACCTCCAATCTGTATCTATAACTCCATCAATTGAAGCTTGCACTAGTCCATATTGATCATTTGCCATTAGCCATAGTGATTGTGAATTTTCATCTAAGAAGATGTGTAATGATGACAGCCTTCTGCAATGAAGAAGAGTGTTTACTTCTTGTATCTTTAATAATTTGTTTACTTACTTTGTTTTTCATTCATTGCACTTTGGTATTACAGTAAATTATGTCATCTTATGTAACATGGTTTGCTCTATCCATTTCAATGGTTCTAACTTTCATAGAGTTATTATTAATGTATTTGTGTTTTACATTCTGCACTTGTTTCAAAAATGCTTCTAAGTTTCTTGCACCCCAGCATTGATCTGTTGCAATCATGCATGTTCAAACTAGATTGATGGCTGCCTGGATCTGGCCTAAGTTAACTGCCTGTCTGCCAGTGACTCATTTTGTGTCCAGTTTGCCAAGTCACTTGTCTGCTCCTCTATGCAGAAGAAGTGCCATATATGTGTTAATAAACTACAAAGATGGCTTAGGCTGCAAAAAATGCCCACTAATAACACAGGATCATAAAATAATGATTTATTTCAAATATAAATCCACAGCTTAATGCGGGAAAGTTGTGTTAGCTAGATCCCAGACACACACAACAGCAATAGCTACATACTGTACCAGGAGCAACATTCATGCAAGTCATATTGCTCAAGAAACAAATTCAACATGAACACAACCAGTTGGAATATTAGTTCAAAGTTGGAACTTCACTTTAAACAGTTCAACAACAGATAAGCATTGATTCCTCAGCAAGTCATGTTTGCATTCTTAAATACTCCATTCTACCCATAGTGATATAGGTACAGTGGTACCACAGTTGTATTCTTATATGGTGTGGTAGGTATATACACCTCTGATGGTATGATGGTATTCTAATCTTTCTTCTAATTGTTCCAAAATTTTCACAGCTGCTGGCCTATGATAATGTGCATATTTTCATCCCAGCTGTTGCAGTCCCTTCTGCATTCCTTTCTATGCTGATGGTTTGTTATAAAAAATATATACATTATACAGATACATCTGCATTATGTCATGGCTTTGTTGTGAAAAGTATATTTTCTCGTAAGAATTTGTAAGAATATTAAACAAAATTTTTAAATATTTGTTACTCGGTAATTAGAATGACGAAATACTGCTTTATGGTATTATAATCAAGAAATTATAATCAAGATAATTGATTATCATCTCAATTGCGAGGTATGAATAATAGCAGTCATTTGTAAATATTTTTTGTTAAGAAGTATCAAGTTAAGAAGTTTTAAAGAATTCTTTGATTGTATAGGACGTATTTAGAAAATAATTGAAAATATGAAAGACTGCAAGCGCAAACGGTTAGGCATTGAACCAAATCTCTAAGCATCAATCAGACAATCACCAATCTTCCATGATCAACTGGAACATGCGTCGCAAAAACACATTGCCAGCAGAGTTATAGACACATATTAGTGGAGAAGGGCTTGCCGTATTTTGATTGAATTAAAAAATTTGTACATACAAATGTGCATGCATACCATATGCACATACATATGGCTTGCCGCGTTAGATGTGATTGTTTCACAGCTACACAATGAGATCAGAAAATAGCTAAGCTTTTTTATATACTTAAGATAGACCCTACTTTCAAATAATAGTCATTCAAGTACGCATTTAACATTGTAGTATTATCACTGTTCATCGGGAAATTTTGAAAATTATCTTGTATTTAGTGTTTGGTATTTGCTAATAATTAATTGTTAGGTTAATTTTTTGAACCAAAATTAATTGCTAAACTGGATTTAAATAGAAGATTTGTAACAATTCACGCTTTTTGGATACAATAAGAATACAATTCTTAAGAAATTTTACAATTTTAATTAACCCTTTAGCGGGCAAGCATTGAAATATCCAGATATTAAAATTTCAGAAACCATTTCAAGAAAGTAAGGAGTATTATACAATATATTTATTTCTATGAATTTTTGCAAATTTTGCCTATTCAACTTATTCTTATTCATCAATACAATGTTCTCATTCTTCAATACAATGTTCTTACTCTTCAATACGATGTTCTTACTCTTCCATACGATGTTCTTACTCTTCCATACGATGTTCGTACTCATCAATACGATGTTCTTACTCTTCAATACGATGTTCTCATTCTTCAATACGATGTTCTTACTCTTCAATACGATGTTCTTACTCTTCAATACAATGTTCTTACTCTTCAATACAATGTTCTCATTCTTCAATATGATGTTCTTACTCTTCAATACAATGTTCTTACTCTTCAATACGATGTTCTTACTCTTCAATACAATGTTCTTACTCTTCAATACAATATTCTTACTTTTCAATACAATGTTCTTATTCTTCAATCCGATGTTTTTACTCTTAAATACGATTTTCTTATTCATCAATATGATATTCTTGTTCTTTAATACGATGTTCAAACTCTTCAATACGATGTTCTTACTCTTCAATACGATGTTCTTACTCTTCAATATGATGTTCTTACTCTTCAATATGATGTTCTTACTCTTCAATATGATGTTCTTACTCTTCAATACGCTGTTCTTACTCTTCAATACGATATTATTACTCTTAATACGATGCAAAAGCAATGTTCTCGAAAAAGATGACTTGCCAAATGTTTTTGATAAGATGTTCATGAAATTGATGGCCCGCCAACGAACTTAATTACCGTAAACTGGGGCTACTCAGGATAATTTTGAAATTTTCATTCATAACTTCTCACCATGAAACATTCCATAAACAAGTTTAGGCTCATTTCAAAGCTCTTTGCAGGGGCTATCACATGGCTTCTCCAAAAAATTCATATGCTATACGTAAGGTGCCAGATGCAAAAAAAGAGTGTCCCGAGTAGCCCCGTCAAACAGGGCTACTCGGGACACTTGGAATAAAACTTCATTTTAAAATATTTGAAGCATGCAGAGTGTACTCATCTATTACTAACAGTACTTTGAAGTCCTCCTCTTTCATTGTAGATGATGTAGACTTGTAGAGGTAGAGTAAATAACATTTTCTGTGATTTTTACTTGTTTCTCCTTTATTGATGATAATACCATATACCGTAAAATGGGGTTACTTTGACCGGAGGGGTAACTTTGACCACTTTTCATTTTTTTAACAAAAACGCCCAAAACTCAAAAACGATTCAACATAGAAAAATTTTGTCACTGGCCAACAAAGGCCTAATACTGAGGCTACATAACACAATAGAAAGATTTAAAAAGTTTGCATATCTAATAGGTTAAAAAATTAATAATGTGACCCATGAAAAAGAGCTATTATTCAAAGCCTGTCGGAGTACCCCCTCCAATTTTTTCATTTTTTGGTAAAATAACTCCAGGTTTTGATGCATTGTAGTAGAACTCTTCTAGTTACATATGCAAAAGACAAATTTTAGGAAAGTGTCATAGTTTGCAAATGGGGGGTGCCACCCCCCAATGGGGGAACTTTGACCACCTAATGGCAGCCGTGACAGGGTAACATTGACCGGCTTGGAAATTAAGTTAAAATTACCATAGGTACCTATGGTATATAACATATTTTATGTTTGATACACCTATTAATGTTTTTTTCTTTATGTTTCAGACTCTACAGTCTTATATATGGTAATTCTAACTTAATTTCCAAACCGGTCAATGTTACCCCGTCACGGCTGCCATTAAGTGGTCACATTTTGCCCATTGGGGGGCGGCGCCCCCCATTTGCAAACTATGACACTTTCCTAAAATTTGTCTTTTGCATATGTACCTAGAAGAGTTTTACTACAATGCACCACAACCTGGAGTTATTTGGAGTTATTTTACCAAGAAATATAATTGATTTTGCCACCCGGTCAAAGAAACTCCAAGAGCTGGGGTAACAA